ATATATTTTATTGTGTACCCCTCCCTCCAGGCTTGTTAGTCCTCTCTAACTTCCTGTGTTCGTCTACCCGCTTGGGAGGGGATAACTTTAACGTCATACAGTGTTGAATGTCACTGCGCCAAGACAATGTAATAAATTCACTAAATGTTGTCTGAGCGTGGGGGGGGGGGCGTCTGCAGCTGTAAATATATCCCCAAGTGTGCTGATGATTAGAGCAAACACCCTCAAGTCAATTTGCTCCCTGGACCCAGCGCTCTGTCCTCCTTCATATATAAGACTGTATATCAGTTTCATATAAGTAGTTGTTTACCGTACCAGGGAAGGAGTGGGGGTGGTTTAGGCAGAGAGAAATATGAAGAACTGGGCTTTTAATTACTTTAAACATTTGATGGATTTATTTCATAAATGGGCACTAGGCTTTTCCTGGCGAAGTGGACAGGCGTGCGATTGCATATTAAAGCTTCAGCTGCAGTCGCTGCCGACAGATGATTGCTTCTCCCCATTCTGATGAATAGCGTGTTGCAGGAGACCTGTGTGAGCCGCGGGCTCGGCTAACCCCCCCCCCATTCCTTGCCCTCCACTCCTTCATTAGTAATGGCCAGGCCAGCCTGCAATGCTCAGAAGAATTTTTTTTTAAACAGGCATGCTCTACAGTGTGGGCATGACACTTGTGCATTCAGACTAACGACCACTTGGGGAGATGTGAGCGTGAAGCTTAAGCACCCGTCAGCGGGTAACCCAATTCGCCGGGATTTAGCAAACTGGTCCGTTCCCTCTGGAGTGGAGGACCCGGGGAATAGAATTTGCGAGCTCGGATAATAAGGGATTGTGTCGTTAGGTAAGGAGATCCACCCTAATTGGTGTCATTAGAGGCGGGCACTCAGCGAGCAGTCCCAACGTGAAAGGAATTATGGGATATACCCATCCTGTTGGCTCCACGGAAATACATGCTAGTGGCGATAGGAGAGGGGAGAACGGTGAAATCTCCAATTGGTTTTGTTGCCGGGTTGCGTCATTTACGTGAATGGTAGCACTTTAAGAGTAGTGGCAGTCTGTTTGCCTATAGGGAATGCATCATCGTTAACCTTCTAGCCTCTATTATGATGTCTTACCAGGGCTGGAGCGAACAGACGCCTCACGACAGCTATCCATCAACACCCTCGCCAGTGTGGGGGGGGAGAGGGTGTTAAATCATTTCTCTCCCGCAAAGCATCAACAAGAATTTCTTCTATCTACACAAATATTTTGATTTGTGTAAATGCAAAAGGTTGTGCAGACGTCAGACTGTGGCACTTGGCCCAACATGCTCTCTAAGCTGACATTTAAATGCATGTTTACGTTTTTAAAAAGATGTCGAACCAATTTATTTATTCTTGAAACTGTCCTCCCTTGTCTCCTACTGCACATGTACTTCTGGGCGCACTTTCTCCTTCTTTTCTTTCGAAGGAAATGGACCGTGACTCTGGAGATGTAGATGTCATTCTTGACAAAATTTGGCGTTTGCTGCATTCTCTCATCTTTCTTGCTAGAGCCATTGCCAGTGCAAATTTCCCCAAGCATGTGCATTGCCATTGAGCACAAAGAGTTCCCAGTGCTTGGAAAAAAGTCTCTCAAATTCATTCCTCTATGTGGTTTCAATAATACCAATTGAGTTCTGTCTAGTGTTTCACAAGATTTCCTACATGTACAGCTCATTAATACATTGGAGAGATTTGAACCCCAAATGTTATGATGAGACATCACAACAGTGGATTGAAAAAGGTCAAACCCCCCCAAAATAAAAATAATAGATTTTCAAAGGTGAACCAGAAGTTTGAGTATGTTTTCCCAAGTTAGTCAAGATTCTCCTTAAACGCAAAGGTGGACAGTGTGAATGGTGCTATTTCCACAGTAAGAGCAATGCGATTTATTCATCGTTTCCGTCTTTCTCTTTCCATCCCTGAGTGCATATTTCTTGCCGACTTTTGTCGTTATACCTCCTCCTGACCCGCCTTCCTTTCCCTCCCATCTCCTACCGGAATTGATTTTGTGCCAGAGAGCCGCTTGACGTGCCGTCCGGAGCGGACAGTGGCACGCGCTCTTGACATGCCTTGACAGATTGCTCACGTGTCGCTGTTTGCTCGCATTCCGTCTCTGCCTTTCTGCTCTCTCGCAGGGAAAAATTATTCAGGCATTGTGGATTTGTGTGTTTCTTTCTTCTTTTTTTTGTTTCCAGGAAGCTGATTTCTTGGAGTGGATCGGCTCTGAATTGTAAATTTGAATCATTAATGATGCGGAGCGATTGCTGCATGAGTGCAGTAGGGCCAAACACCTCGATATCCGCTCACCTCGTTCTTTCTCCCCCCCCCCCACCTTTTGGTACATTTGTAAATGTAAGGAAGAGCCTTCATTGTGCCTACATTAACCCCAAAAGAACTGGGCTTGTTTTTAACCATCTTGCAGCCGGGGGTGGCGGGGTGGAGTCTGCCCCCAAGAACATGGCTATCTCACTCCTAATCTTTCTGAAACGTTGCATGCATGTAAAGGCATTCATTATCAACGTCAGGTGTAGAGTTTGGGTTTTTGTTGTCATTTGTCCGCCTGCTTGCATTGAGTACCTCAGAGGAAAACTATACATTTGGCTGACTCGTCTCAGTATGTCCGATATTCACAAATCTGACATCAGAAAGACTGTAAGACATAACTGAAATGAACTACGAAAGGCTGAGCCGGTGGTAAGAAAAATGTACTGCCACAGTATATGAGATGCAAACTCTTGAAGGGTTTATACGGTAGTCAAACTGCTTTTTAGACGCTGACGCAACTTTATCTTTAAATGTGTGACCTTATTTAACGTGCATAAACTTGACAGAGGTCTGTTGTGACCGGTACTGGTACAATTATTTGCTTAAAATGTGTGGCTGAAATAAGCTCAAATTGCAGTCAGAAATTTTCCATTTGCTGAGTTTCATTGTGTACTACGCAAAAAAGCGATGAGTGGGATCTACAGGTAGTTCCTTCTTTTTTTGTTTGTCTTGATGGTGTTCTCATTGGAAAAAAAATTAAAAGAATGTTTCAAAACATGAAATACGTATTTTCAGTAGTGAAATATCTCACATTAAAAAGTATACACAAAATAAAAAGTGGTCTTTGACTTTTTGTGAGTAGTGTATTTAATACCAATTCCTTGTCTTGTTTAACCGTATTTCCACAAATATTGACAAAATGTGTTTTACATTTCCACTAAAAGAAAACTCTCTCCCTGTGTTATCTTTTAATCTTGAAGTGAGCCACGCTTTTAAAAGAAATCCCCACTCTGTCATCCAGGGCTTCATGTTTCAACCCGGTGCATTTTATGGTGCAATTTCTGGGTGGGACCCGCTTTGCCCCAGCAGTGTTTACATACCCTTCCATTTGAGATTTATGAACTTAAATTGTGTTGCCATTGCAACCTGAGCCCTTGGGTGAAGAATTCTTTCTTCTCTTCTTTTCGGACAAGTGTGCTTGGAGTCAACTTACGGACCGGGTACAAAAGCATTTTGAACCATTGGTCATATTCGGGTCATTTAGAAGAGTGAGCATAAAGTCACATTCGTTCAGTAACACTGCCGAGTTAATGCCTTCCCCGGGCCTGGCTTTACCCCAAGGATTATGATCATGATCGTGGATGGCCATTTAGTGCTATGGTATCTCGCACCCTGATCCACCAAAAGTGACTTAACTTGTTCCCCCCAGGCTTGTGAGGATGTGTGACCTGACGCAATTGAGTTTGAGGGGAGCGGAGCGAGTTACCAGCAGGACAGGTTTTTTTTTAAAAGTGTAGCTGCAATGAATTTTTCATACATACAGTTTTTTTTCCCAACTTTTTGTGTTCTTCTTCAAGGTAAAAATTGATTTTTTTTGCCTTCCTATTTGGTTAAATGCATTGAAAAGTGCAGATTTTAAACAATTGAAATTATCCATGCTTTCCCGGACAGCTGAAGGCGCTATTGCTGTGAAGTCGTCCTGGGAAGACATGGTGCAGCGTATACAATGTACATGTTGGTACATGTACATGTATTTCTGTTCAAATTGTGAGTCCAGAATTTACTAACTGAAAACTTTCTGAATGAGGAATTGATGTTTTCTAATTGGTATGCACATAAACAACAATGAATCGGCAAAGAAGAGAATACTGAATCCAGGAAAATCGACAAAAAATACAGGACTTGCTTGTGCACAAACCAATGTAACATTCAGGCTTCTTCCAGAGATGATCAGAGTTTTGATCATGAATATGGAAATATATCATTAGCATAAATACCAGACTGTATGTAGGCAGCATTGTTTTTGGATACCACCGTTGTACTCTGGCTAGGTGCGTGTTTTCACACATGTACATGTATGTTGTACAAGTACTAATATGGACCAGTACATGTAGCTCTCATTGGGCATATTCCACTGTACATGTGTTGTAGAAGAACGACCTCCAGATTGCAGATAGGTGTACATGTTTGGTGTAGACCACTCTTATTTTGCCTACAACTTGTAGGGTGGCCAAAGTTTGCAGAAGTGTCAATTTGGGTTGTTTTTTTTGTTTCACCTCAAATTTGTCCAAATTCGTCCCATTGAACCCAACCCCCCTAGGGTGTACATGTATGCAAAAGTGCATTGAAATTCAAGGATTAGGGACTGTTAGGGTTAATTTTCAAATTGGGTTGTATTTTCATGTGGTATCTAGTAGTGCGTGTATTATTATCCGGTGTTCTGATAGAGCTGTGAGGGATTGTTAACACTTGTGAATTATTCCTTGCTTTTGTTCCAACAGCCAGCCATCGTTTTAGCAGCCACTTGGGGGAAAAACACTACTCTGACATCACACGAGCAGACCCTATGCATGTACATATACAAGAGAAAGAGGGATTTGTCATTTGATAGATTGTCTACAGTTGATTGACAAGAATGACCATTTCTTGTTCAGCAGTACCTTTTTACAATCTTTGTAATACCGTCTCTTCTCTTATTTTCTTTTCATTTCGTAGGTTGTATGTGATGCTGTATCAAGCAATCAAGAAAAGAGACTATCCCTGGTGGGAAGACATGTGAGTGAATGGGATTTCTTTCCTTCCTTGGGTCTCCTGTGGTTAATGCAAGAAAAAGATCTGAGATCTAGAATAACAGCTAGAATGTTTGCTATTCAGTTAGTATTTATCATATAGTGATAATTTATTCATTTATAAAGCACAAATTTCATAGGGATGTTCAAATGCAGTGTACATGTACCAGGAAGACATTAAACATGGTCCAGCCAATGGCACGTAAGAGTGGCTCAGGCAGCCGCCAAATGACCCACATCCACCCACATCTGTAGAGAGGAGACAGTAGTAAGAGACGGTTTCCTTTGCAGAGGTGGGAGGAAAACCCCAGAGAAGAAATTTCTGGGTAAAACCCACGGAGTCAGGTAGGGACTGATAACTGAATCCACATGCAGACTGAGTGGTAATCAAAACCCTGGGCTGCACAGGTGAAAGGCGAGGAAAGAACCACAAGTACATGTACTGTACTTTGTCAATCTGACTCCCGTAGTTTTGTCACAGAGCCATGTGGGTTCTATGAGAGTGACAACAGCAACATTTCAAGACAGGGAGAAACATTCAACCACTTAAGACATGTCTTTTCCAGTCGTCTCGTTTAAACCTTGTTCATATGTACAAAAGTAAATGTACTGTTTGTGAGTGCATTTGTTTGTGCAAAATTTTTTGTAACGAATTGTTGAGAAGCTGAAACGGGTCAACCTTCTGCCGATTTTTGCGTCAGCTATTTACATCGTATGAACTATACACTTACGCATTTATATGAAAATACCAAGGTAGGCGGCGGCGGCCTCTGTAAAGTGTTGGCTAAATTAAACCACCCTTAGCGTGGCAAGTGTTAGCGATGACACCATGTTGCTTGAAAGATTGATCTCTTTGTGAACATTGTCGTCATTGAACAGTCCTTCGTCAGGAGACTGAGCATTGTAAATGTGTTTAAAAATGTTTGATGAAATCCTTGGGTGCAGTCTTGGTTTTGCCCAGAGCAACCAGGGTTCACCAGGAGCAAGAAAAACAGAATTGGAACTTACAGCTGAACTGTGTGACATTCCGATACTGGCGCTCGCTGCGTATTTGTTGCCATGAAATGCATGAAAAGTGCTAAACTGGACAGTCGAGGGCTGAAGCGTCACTGTGAAATTGGGCCCAGAAGGCATAGGACAATGAGTATACTTACATGTACAAGCATTTTGTAGAGCGAGACACTCCGAGTCATTGGGATGGCAGTTACCCTCATCTTAATACCAGTTTTGAGTTCTATCCGTATCTCCGCTGCATCGATTCTCGGCGACTTGTTCAAACATCAGCATGCCCGCTCATTGTTTGTCATGTAAGCCAATCAGGGAAGAGCCCTAAGAAAATAACCTTTAACCTGTTACGTGTATGCAAATTAGGTTGACTTCGGCTGGCTTGGAGTTTGCTCTGGATTGAGTTCCTGAACCTAATGGACGGCTGCACAAAGTCTTGTCATGTTCTGTTGTTTTTGTACCACTCATCACCAGCAGATTTATGAGAACGAAAGCTACACACATGTACATGTGCATGTGGGTTAAAGAAAGGTAATAAAATGTGGAAACACCCGATGAAGGCACACATGTGCAAATCTTGATAGGTGTTCCATTGGCTTTGACGTACATCGACTTGTTTTCAAATGAAATTGGCTGATGGAGAAGTCTTGGCCCCTGCCAAGGAAGAGTAAACAAAAAAAGGTTAAATTAGCAGAAATGACACTACTTCGTACATAGAGTATGTTAACCTAAATTTTTTCCACTGAGAATTATGAGGATGACGTCTGTAGTTCTTGTTATTTACATGTTGGCTGTGTTGTAGTATGAGTTGAAAGTGAATGATAAAAACAAAACCCCCCCCAAAAAAAACAGACGAACATGTAGGAATGGTGATTGGTTGTTTAAGATAGGGGAGGGGACATATTTCACAGAATATACAGACTTGAGATGGAAACCAGTAGAAATGTAATATCTCATCAGAGCATGGATCTGATTCCAAGGAAATGATAGTTTTGGTATGTTTTCCTGTTGATAAATCCTGTGACTGAGCTGACTGAAATTGAAGGAAATCTTCACTGTGTAATTTGCAGTCAACTCATGAAGCTGTCTGTACTTGTCACCACTGTAAAGAAGAAACCAATTCTCCAGTGATTATGTACGTGTACACAAACCAGACGTTTTAATTATGGAAAGTATTGCTGTTGCTGATGAGATTTGCTTGAAGTTACCATGCCATTCCTAGCACACAAAAAGTGCACATGATACACATTCATATTACCGCTACGAGGCCCAAATGCAAAGAAGAAAAGAGGAGAGAGGGGGAAAAAATTAGCCAGTTGCTGAACCACCTGCAAGCCGCTGGGTACCAGACCCACAGTCCCTGGTTCTAATTACCAGCTTAGATCAAACACATTTCCATCAGATTCCTCCCCCCAGGTGCCTTGCGGCGGAATTCGGCATTCAGAAATATGACCAGCTCTCCAGAAGATGATCGTTATCCACTTTTTGGATTCTTCTTTTTCAGTAAATGTTATAATGTCCTTATGTTCATCTTTACAAGGGCAGAGGGCTGCAGATTGTTTGCTGTCTGTCATTACAGCTGCGTCTGTCAGCTGTTGATGAGGGGCCGAGGAATGATGAGGAATTTGAGAATGAGAGGGATAGAAAAAAAGGTTCCGAAGAGGCAAATGAAGGGGCCTGTGAGACAGAGCTAGAGCTAGGGGCCGCTGAAATATGGGACAAATTAATCAGCTCGGCTCCAAGGGGACAAACCGTTCCTTCCCTCCCCTCCCGATTTTGGCCAAGTTCCCAGCCGCGCTGCTCCCTAACCATGAGATTAATGCCTCTGTGGAGGGATTCCGGCAGTGAGCGTGCATAACCCCTGATTGAACAGATCTCGAACACCGGTCTTGTTCTTGCAGTCAAAGCCTGACGTGGTTCATTTCGAGGGTCCCTTGTTCTGCAATGACATGAGCCGTTGTGGCCATGACCAAGTGAAACAAATTCTGCGTCCACAGTTCAGTCTTTTGAAAGTATGATTATTCAAAACCTTCGTGAATTCCAAAACAGTCTTTCTGAAAACAAATTTACTACAACTTGTGATCAGTTAGTTGCTGACAAGAGTGATATAAAACTCTTAAAAAAAATAATCAAAAATCAAATATCTTGTTCATTCCAGAGAGTGTAGCATGGCAGCGTCATGCAGTGCAGATTCTACTGAAATTGTACCATAACAAAACACTGCACCCCTTTCTTCTGGTCTTTGATAGTAACAATTTTTTGGGCAAGTGCGTGACCATGTGGTAGACGGGTATCCAGTTCCATTCAGAGCTTACTCTGACATGTGTCCAAAGCCTCAGCTGAGGTCCCAATAATATGATACAGTAGTGCTGTACGTACATGTACAACTCTGGCCCAACTTCCACTTCGGTATCTACTCTTTCTGTACATGTGTATTTCAGTGTTCTCTTCCCTCGCCCGGTTTTGAAAAAGTGCAACCTTTGCTTTCCTGATCCTCACATAGACAATCATATTTTGTGGTCGAACTCAAACAATCAGTAAATTAGCAGTCACCCGTCAACTGGCTGTGAATGTCAGAAAGCAGTTACAGGTCAAATCAGGTAAAGGCCAGTTTGCTGATGTGCTTGTGATTTTCAAGGATAGTGGGCGAATTGGACAATGTGAAGCGGTGGCAGCACGCTCAGTCTCCAGTCTTGTTGAATTGTCTTCATTTTTTGTGTGGAAATGGGCTTTCACTGCCGAGGCTCACCAGCCATCACAGATCCCATTCCACCTCCTTCATCTCGGAGGTAATGGAAATACAAAGCCGATGACCCCAAAGAATTCCACCAGTGACCCATAAAAGACACCAACTCTCCCTCCTGTACAGCCAAGGTGCTGAGTGTGTCCCCGTTGGAGCCTTGAATGCAATCATGAAGGGCTAATGACTTGATTGACCCACCAGCATCACCACTGCCAGATTGGCACACGTGCTGATGGCTTTCCCAAACAATTGCAAGCTGTCACCTGATGCGTAGGTTTGGTTTGCATTCAAGAATGGTAGGCAGCACCTGCTTGCAGAGTTCAGAGCTCCATGCTTTCATGCACACTCGCGTAAGTGCATTGACATTGTCGGCCATGTGCTGGCACATGTTTGGACTTGTAGATGGTATTTCCCCATCCTTTTCTTTGTAATTTGTCGTTGAGCTCTCTTCAGAATGTTTCTAACTTTGTTGACACAACCATTTTTGTTATTTGGCCATCGTTTGGTTTGTCTCCACGGAGGGAAGTAGAGAGACAGAAAATGTAGTCATAATTCAATTTTTTGGGTGGATGGGTGCTTGGCATGTTTGCCTTTCCCTCGATTTGAACGGAAAGGACCCCTTAATGGTCCTCGTGTATGTGCACGCGTCAACTCAACTTGTGTCAGCCTTCCAACTGTTTCCTGGAGCAAACCAGATTTCTTTTCTTAAAACAAGCCCTTCATGCAAATGAAGGAGGACAGGATTGCTTTGAGCTGCTCCCAGGAAATATTTATAAACGTTGGCTAGAGTCCTGAGCAGTAGGCAGGAAAAGAAATGTGTATGGAGCACTGCATTGCAGAAATGCATGTACATGTAAGTGGCTGCAAATAATGCATTCAGGTGTGACTCTGGGTGCGCCTGAAGAGACGCCTAGTGGAACCCTGCACAGAGAATCATGCTACTTCATAGCGGATGAAATGTTTTCTCATGTAAAGAAAGAGAAGAAGAAATGTTAAATGAATCATTGCAGAACCGTACGTGCAGAAATGGTCTTAAATTTCCACAAAGCTACAGTTTGTAACCAACGTTAATATTTCATAAGTTTGCTCATGGAAAATTCAATGCTCACATTCTCTTCTCTAACAGATGGGTCTGCCTGTTTATGTGACGGCAACAGACCATTGAACTAGTTACGATGCCTGCAAAGATAATGGGGTGGGGCTCAAGGGCAGATCTTGGGGGGGCCAATATAACTATAATAATATGGGCTATCACCACCCCCATTCCTCAAAAAAGGAGCCAAAAATGCAACAAATATATTTTCAAGGCATTTCTTCGCTTTATTTCATATCCCTTCCCGAAGTTTGTAAAAAGCCCTTTAATGTAGCCTCAACCCCCTCTCCCCACCAGAAAAAGCTCATAAAAGGTTAAATGTACCAGTACTTGAAAACATTTCCAATTGTTGGCCCCCCCAAATTTAGCCCCCTGAGAATTTGGTTCTGGATCCCGCCTTGGTGTGGCAGGGCTGGGCAGAGACCATTGCCCGTGATTTCTGCTCAGTATTACACAGCAAAAAAAAAATATTGCACAGTTTCTACATCTTCAGCAAGAACCCCCCCAAAAAAGAAAGCTGCAAAGAAATAGAGAGAATGAAACACATTTGTTTCTTCTTTGTTCACCATGCAGCCGTGACATTTGAGGCAGCCATACCAAAGTGTCCTTGATTATCCCTGCTACTCTACTTCACCGAGGGAGAAGGGGGGGGGGGTTAGGACCAAAAAAATGAAAGCAGTTTCCAAAATGGTCCACATTGTGGGCTGGTGGCAGGAAAAAATGCAAACTCATTTTGCCGGCATTGATCCAGTGCACTAATGGAAAATTCATTGCATTAACCCCACTCTGAAAGAGCCTCGGGCCCAGGACAAGAAAAGAAAAATGCCCCAGCTCCACTGGAATCTCCAGCTTTTAACCGGGGATAATGCCGGTCTTTGTTTTTTAGCCAGAGTTCACCGAGGTCTTTATTAGGCTGAGTGGAAAAGTGACATCTGAAATCTGGCATGTGTGTTCTCCAGAGGGAGACTCTGTGTTCTGTCCCTTGCCGTTTTGTTTTAGTAAACACAGATGAATTCAACTCCAAAGACACAGAATCATTTTGGTTAGTGCCCCCCCCCTGATTAAAATTCAAAGTGGAGTTTGCAGTTGTCTGGGATTCCTGTCTGCCTATAATTTTTGTACCAGCTGAATGACATTAATGATGTTTGCTTGGTTGGAGTCAGATGCGACACTCGTTGACAACAGTTTGAAGCAAAATACGCTCTCATCAGTGTTCAAAGTAGCATTTGTATGTGTCATGTAAACAGTGCTTTTTTTAATGAGGATTTACACGATTTAAGTATCAAAACTGCATCAAGAAATAAAAGATCCAGTTCAGAAGGGTTCCATATTTCATACATCTCTTACTCCCTCTACTCTCTCCCCCCAAGAAAGAACAGAAAAATACTGGCAAGTTTCCAAAGTAGCCATGATCATAAATGTCATTCTTTTTCCTTTCCAATGGAGATCCATCCCTTTGTTATGCTCCCTCGTGGATATTAATTTGCGGCAATTTATGAGAGTTTGGCATTTGCGAAACGAACATTCTACATTATCATGGCACGTCAAAAATGCTTCTCAGGGGCTATCGCCCGGCCTGTTCATAATTGGACGTCCCACGAAATAATTAACCACTATTTTCTGGCCCCCTCACCCCAACACTTTTGCCAATAGTATAACTGAGCATTCCTGTTGTGACTCAATAGCTTTGTTCCCAGGCATCTGTAAATAGCACCTGGAACAAGGATACATGCCGGGGAAAAAAAAATTAGCATCTAGTGGTGGATTGATTAACGAGTACTTACATGTACTGGTACTCATTACAGTGTTGCTGAGATTCCAAGGGGAGCCTCATGTTTACAGTCACTATCATGAATGAATGAATGCATAAAATGCAATCCATTCGGTTGCTGCAAGACCTGGTTCATACGGAATGCTGATATGTGCATGGAGGATCAGACAGCTGAATGCCAAAACCACTGAGCAATGCTGGGACTGACTCACGTTTGAACACAAAATCATTTGATCTCTTGTCTCCAAATGGCGGTGTGTCACCCGCTCAGTTAATGTTGCAGGGAGAAACTCGTTACCTGTTTTTTTGAAAATCTGTAATACATGCCTGTGCGCCTTCATGCTGTTAAAGATGTAATCGCTACCCAGGCTCTCCAGGCCAGTTATCTGTTGGTAATTTGTGGGGGATCAGGCTGGTAATAAACGGCAACATTTATCACCAAGATGCAACCATTTGTCAGCAGTGGGGCTGCCTGGTCCTCTCTCAATTTGCTGTGTGAGAAAAAAAAAAAAGGCAGTAAGTTGGTTGGAGTCAATGATGACAGATTGATGGTGAATGCTCTCCTGATTCGGCCCCTCCTCAAGGGGATGAAAAAAAGGACAGGAAATTTGACTTTTTCTGTCCTCTTTGTTGATGGGGGTGATAAATTGTCCCTGGAATGTCTCCTCTGGTTTGCCTTCCAGTCAAGTGAAGTGAGTAAAGAAACTATGATCTGATGCCCCCATCTGAAAACAGCTACTATGTAAGTAGGCAATTAGGCTGCACAAATATTTTGGATAGGGTGTTACATGTGACAACTTATTGGAATTGTTTCTCACATGAGCAAACTGAGATACTAGTAAATGGTGTGCGATTTACAGTTACATGAATGTAAAAATGTATTAGGATGTCATGCAAATGCCAGGAGATAGTGAATGCAGCAAGTGTGCAGTCGGAATCTTCAAAGTCACTGGGTTAAAGGGAAAACAAGAACTTGGAGAGATTAATTACATAACCAGTAGCAGGTGGAGGGTTAGTGTTTCCTGTTGAGCTGTCCCTTGATTAAAACAGACGCCTCTGCTGGATGGTTTCATTTGGCTTTTGTTCGTCTGGCTTGGCGGGAGACATTTATTGCTTTCTGCCTGCTAGCTCTCTGCATCTTTCAAACGGCAGGGTTCCGACTTAGGCAACTTGGCCACATATCTGGTCCCCTGCAGAACCCAATACCACTGAGACGACAACCTGATCCGTGCACACGACTGGTGGGTTGCATATTGGCGTATGGAACCCGCGTGAGTCATGAAATGGGGGGGGGGAAGGCAGTGAATGAAGAAAGGGGTTCAGAAAAATGTGTTCACACAGCACTTGAGCTCACGATGTTACTGAATCAAGTGCCTGAAGTTGCATGCAAGTTGGAATAATTACATTAGAAGGGGAGCACAGAATTAAAAAAAAAAAGGAAAGAGTTTTGTTTTTTATGGCCAGCAATACGTCATCTTCACAAGTAGGAAAACACATCTGAAGCAGAACATTCTCTCTGAGTACAGGTTTTCAGTGACTCATTAGTAAAGGACACATGTACCTGCAACTAATCTACTGTAGCTGCTCAGCCGCTCAAAGTATGGATTGGCTGGCAGTTTTATTGACTTCAACAATTCATTAATTACGTGACAAGGCTGAATGCACAGGACACTGGGAGGTGGTGTTTCAGTCTAATGCAAAAGGACAGAATTTGTAAATTTCAAGATCGTGCTTCACAGAATGGGTGAGACCAGATGGCATCACAGGCCTGAGATGAGAACCGCCGTCGGAGGGGAACTTGGCAACCCTGCCGCCAGGTTTCGTCAATCTTTAATGAGTGGAACGGCAGTCTCCGTAGGTCGGCGTAGAACCACCTGCCACTTCTGGTGGGGCACGCCCCCTCTCCTCCTCCTCCTCCCTCCTCCGTCATTTAGCTTGGTTTGAGGCATCCAGCTCTGTCAGTCAGCCTGGCATCCTGACGTGTCAGTGCTCACGACTACCCTGCACAATGTGCTAAATTTCTACCCGCCCATTGGTTGTTTAAGGGAGCAGATGTTGAGCCACTCGCAGCCTAAGAATGTGAAGAACATCTTGATTTGTAGAGCACAGTTTGAAAGTTGACGCTCAGTTTATCGGCAGTGAGCTTGGGTGAAAATGCTCGTATCTTTGCTTGCGCATCTTGAGTTCTGTGTTGATCTGTGTGATCCATCCAATTGGTTCTAATACTTGCCAGGCTTTCCTCTGTACTTGGAGCTGAGGATACAGGTACATCGGTACATTAGTTTTGACCCAGGTAATATTGTCTCATAACTAGGACAAGGACAGTGTAGGGTTTTCACAAAGATTGGTAACTTTTTTCCTCACTCCGAATGGCAACATACATGTACATGTAGCTGATGGATTGCAGGCAGCAAAGAACAGTATATCCTGTAAGCTGATCACCAACTACATGTTAGAGTGAATATGAACTTCTCTTTTGATGTGATTGTTCTAAAGTGTTTGTTCCATTTGTGACTGACTGAATGTTTGATTGTTTTCTCTACATGTAGATTGCAGTGTGTGTTCAAAGACTTCACCAGATGGCGACGCAGCAAAGGTTGCCGCCTGCCAGCACCACAACGCCAACTGCCTGTTCAGGGTCCCCTGACGGTGGGACGTGCATGGGATCGTCCTATGACAATGGCATTCTACAGCTGTGTGCAGAGCTGCACGACAATGACCCTGCATCAATGCAAACGAAGGTTGTTAAATATGTAAGTCCTCCAGCTCTTGTGTTTCTAAATGTGGCAATGAGTCTGTACAGTCAATTTCTGCCAGGGTTTAGCTTCATTGACGTTTTGGATTTGGTCGACACTAAGCGCCCAAAGAACACAGGCGCATCCTTATCCTTGTTTTACATGTATATTTGATCAAGAGTGTAACAGGATTTTAGGAGCATTTACAGTGTTCTTTGGCTGTTGCTAGGTGTCCTGGTCAAACTGTTAGACTCGGGTGATGTTCAGCTTGGTAGAAAGTCGTTTGACGTGCTTTGTCTACCCTGGGGCATTTTATACTAACAGTTGAAGACTTTAATAGATAGAGTTTTAATACCAGTAGAAAGAGTTTTAATACCAGTAGAAAGGCTGGTTTAGCCTTGGAGGTTTCAAAGAGATAAACCAAGAGTGCCAACTCTCTGGAAAGTGACCGCAGCCAGGACAATAGGGTATATCACAAGTCTGTTCCATGTGGACAGTGTACATGTCAACAAAAGTAATTATTTACGCACAAACTTTCAATGCCAAGATTTCTTATACGCGTACATTTGACAATTTTACTTGCATAGAGAGATGCATGTGTAAAGGTCTGTAAGACTTACACAATAGATATCGGGTTTAATTCCTTCCAGCTTGTTTGCCCAGCAGACCGTCTTGATTCCTGACACCCGTCCCAAGGTCGAGGCCTGGCACCTCATAATGTATCCCTAATCCCCTGATCAGCACGGGACAATCGCAACATGGTCGTGCATGTGCCCTGGGCCCGCTGTCTGTTGGCACGCAGCTGTCTGCTGTAGGGTTGAGAAGCCCATGCTCAACAGTCCCATCCATTTGCTGACCTCCTCTCTGATCCCGCCAAATTGGCGCATCAGACGGCCTCTCCAGGCCCATGCTCGGCTGGCAAGCAGTCCCCCATTAACCCACTCAGGGTGCTCAGACATCCTCGCCGCCGTGTGCTGCCCTGAATACACAATGAAGGTTGGCTTGTCAGTACACATGTACACGTACCAGATATTTTGTTTGAGTGGGGAACATACAGTGTACTCGCATATTCCAACATTGCATTTGTGGAGTCATGCGCCCATGTCTTATACATGTACATACATGTCCATGTATGTGTGAAGTGATGCGAGGAAGCTCTTGAAACGTTCACTCTTTCATTTCCGTAACGTTCCTTTTAATTTGTGCACATGGAATGAATTTTCATATGTTTCGGGATGGCTTGTGTATCAAAGGAATTGTGGTCAGCATTTGTGGCCTTGAAGACCCCTGCATGAGGAGCTTTTTCATGGGTGTTTCAGGTTCTCACCATAAAATGTCCAAAAATTTATTGAATTTATTGGAATTTTACTTCTACATGTGTATACATTTTGTTAACCACCTTCTTAGATGAGGATATATCGAGATTTTCCTGATTTTTGGAAACCCCTTCAGAGCCTTCTGTGAATGTGAATGAGGTGTACCCCCAAAAGTGGGGCAGGCCATACTGTTGTTAGAGCTGTTTTGCGTGGTATCGGATACCTGAAAACCTAGTTACTTCAGCCACAATCTCAGGAGTAGCTTGGTTACTACCGGCTGTAGCTAAATGTTAAGACCTCCGTGGTCTTATATTCTCCCCCACACTCAATGCACTGTGGCAAAGCCAGCCTGCCCCATTGCTTCTTTAAAACACCTGTAAGCTGAAGCTTTGTAATGCTAATATCAGGAGATTTAGTGACACACTTGCATAGAACCCCCACCAATCTGGTTATCGGCCATAGCATAGCGGCCAAATTACCATCTCATTGATGTGTCTTCGTCCCCCCTCCACCCGCTCCGATCCAAAGTCAGATTTGGTATTCATTCTGCCTCCGCATAACAGCCCGAGCTCGGAGGATTGTATTACAACCCGGACGATACCTATCGGTCCGTCAGCAGTCGGTTCGATCTTATCTCAGTCAAGTGTTGCTTGATGCTGTACGTACGTGCACTGTCTCTCTCGGGCCGACCGTTGTCCTTGTCCGGGTTTTTTTTTTATTTTCCCTAGTCCCACTTTTCAGCAAACAAGAAAATCGGGGACAGTAAATGCTGTATTGATTGTGGAGAATCACCGGGGCCATCTTCCGTTTCCGTTGCAAACAAGAAGGAAAGATGATTGACGCGGGAAACGAGTGTGGTTCCGAGTGACTGAACTACCAAGCCAAGTCTGAATCCTAGGAATCAATACGACACTCGCCCTAGTGCTGTCCCCCTTGTATTCTCTTCATCTTGTTTGCAGACCTCCTCTCGGTTGCACTATTTACGTCGGCCGTTTCCAACTTTGGTGCACTTAAAGCCAAGCCTCTCATGAATAATTCGTCCTAAATCAAATCGCTTTCGCATCTGCACTGTTTTACAGTGTTGCCGAGGCATTCTCGGCATTTTTGTGTAGTCGTTAAAATGCAAATCCTTGGTGGCGCGATGCATGTGTAAATTTGGCTCTGGCACTCAAGCTCTGTCCACTGCTGTCATTTGACTTTATTTCTTCCTCGTTTCTTGTTTTTGGCTCATGAATTTGTCGAACATTGCTGTTTTAATTTGTCTTTATTTTCTTGATACAAAATTCTGTATTCCTTTCAAGGTGTTAATGAACCGGCTTATCATTCCACCAGCTCCTGAGTAAATCAAGAGTTTTGGATAAATACATGTTCAAGAAAGAAATGTACAAATAAGCTGACCAAATGTGCAAGCTTTAATGTTCATGTTGTCAGAAAGATAGAAATACCATCTACGTAAAAGTTGGAGCACTGAAATACTGTTCCGCGTGCGGTGAATTTGTTATTTATGCAAAATGCAGAACAACGTCTCTTCACTTTTTTTATGCGATTTGTGTGTGAAGGTCTTTGGGTGTTATTTGTGCTGACATATAAACGGGTGAAATCTGTAGTTGTGACTGCCCCGTTGGAATACTGGGACTCTCTTGCTGACACTCTGTGGCACCAATTCGGGACAGATTTAGACGGTTCAGCCTGACTAGTTTTCTTAGTTAGCAGTCTTGGGGACTGCATGAGAGCCCAGCTTTGACAAAACTGCTCATTTACATGTATTTCCCTAGTCCCTTTGCAATATCACTCATCTCTCCAAGTCTCTGTGGGCTGTGAATGTCCATAGAATTCTTCCTGCCAGTTCGTTACCGATTTGAATGCGAATGCTAATTTGTGACATGACCAGTTGTGTTGCAAATGTGCTTTATTTCGACAAAGATAACTTTTACAGGACGTCAAATTAGCTTTTGTATGTGGGTTTGCATTGAACATGAACTGGCTCCTACCGCACAGTACATCTGCCAACATGAAATGCGTTACATGTACACTGTATGTACCTGATTTTTTACTTGCAGTTAGAGAGGCACACACAGTCAGAATGCTGCGCGCTGTGGATAGTGTCGTCGGAAGATGCGACCGAAGTGTTTTGTCAGGTAAGGGGATCGTGTACAATCATGACACACCTGAACACGCATGTCACTAAACACCCTGACACATTGTACACCGCTCGTCCGTGGACACATCTCCAAGTTGTCTGTCTAGACCATGATGAAAAAGAAGTGGACTGAATATATATACCTAATATGTCTTTGGGTCAGACATTTTTCTGCTTGTGTTGAAACTGAAGGAATAAGCGGAATTCCTCTTTTGAAATATTGCGTAGGAAACTTTGTAGTGTGTGTTGACAAAAAAAGGAAGAAGTAAAGAAGTTTTAAAACAAAATTACAGTCAGTGTAAAATGTAGTTCCAGATATTCTGTGTACCATTGATATGGTTTTGCTGGTTAAATTAGGAAAAAACAATATTTTCCAGTCAAACATATTCCTTGGTATCCTGTTGACGTCCTGTATGTGATCAACATCTGAATAATGACAGATTTTATATACCTCTTTCAAAGGATCACGTGAAAATAAAAAAGACAGAAAAAAATTGGAATGTTATTGGACTGTATCAAATAAGTCTCACATATAACGGTACCTTCATACGTGGGAAAGTGAGGTGAACTTTTCATTTTCAGAAACACAGTAAAATACCAGCAATGAAATCAACTGTCGTTACAAATGAATACCAGTTTTACATTTTGGATAATTTAAAATGTGTGATGAATTATATCAATGTTTTAAGCTGCATTAAATAAAAAATAAAAGTGTACTTTGTTTACCAGATAACATTGAATGTGATAAATTCAAGGAACACAATCCAAAATGACTTCCCCAAGTATGTGGTCTATTCTGCCTCTCTTTCTTCACTCGTCCACTTCAGTTTACCTGTAACACAGCACTTGTGTATCTCTCTTGCTGTCCTTGCTGTATGCTCTTACTGGTAGTAATCTTGGTGCATAATTGGAAGAAAATTGAGATGTCCTCGTTTAAGTACATGTGTGTTAAGTGTACCAAGGTGCAAAGTTCCCTATAACCATACCCAACAACCATTTTTCCAAAACATATATTCCTATGTTCACTTTTACTTGGGCTAGCACTAAGTCAAAACTTGACATTGCGTCTTTACTTGAGTTAGTATACCAACATGAAAACCTTTGCAAGAAGGCACAATTTGTATCATGCAGTTTAGTCTTGCAGTGGGAGCAGAAAAAGTTCTGCCAGGGTTGACTATGAGCCTCAAACTTGCAGCATCTGGAAAGATGTGCTGCAAGTGTTGCTGTTGCCTGTTGGTTACTGAATCCTGTGCTTTATCACAGCCTCAGAGCTAGAAGCCTAAGCCCTGTGTTAACCTGAGACAAGAGGGCAACAAAATCATTAATGCTTTACTTACAAATCGATTCTTCACTTGTCTCTAGCCCCAATTATCCCACTATCAGATGAAGCTGATGAGAAAAAAAAAAAACTTTCCCAAAAAATTGCAGTCCTTGGTTTCACTGCCACCTCTGCTCTTCATCTGATTCTGTTTTCCTCTATACCCTTCTCCCTCCCCCTCCCCTCCCTCAAATGGCCTCTTGACACTCATCTCCCCCTGTATGCGTGACAGGTTTTGGGTAACAGGGTACTGGAGGAGGAAATACGGATCTTGGTAAGTCGCAGCTTGCCACGGCAACTGTGTAGTTGGACATCAAATAGTTTGATTGCATCCTACTCCTCATTCCTTCCCAACTGCCTTTATGAAAGAACTCATTATTTGGATCACTTTTGTTCCAGTTTAAGACTTTCATATTTTTTCTTTTATTTTGCCTTTAGACCCACATACATATAGCGCCATCCCTTGCATAGGGTTTGACAAAAATACAGCTTTATCCTCTTTAGTGTTGATCCTGAATGATCTGTGATATAAATTTACTTGTGAACATGTTTTGCACAACTTATGAAAACTTTCCGACATCCTTTTTGGATAAATGCTAAAATTTCACCTTTTAAGACATTCAACATTGTTTTCCCAGCGAAGATATGTGCGAAAACACATTGCTCACTGGCCCACTTGCATTGAACTGAAGCATCAAGACATCTCTAGAGAGAGAAAAAAAAGGAAGGCGGCGAAATATCCACAATTCTGGCCAACTCTTGTGCCGAAATGGCTTTTAACATGGTTTCTCTCTAAAATGGCATCACACCTTTGCTCGTAAAGTGGAATTTTTGTTACACTGAGTGGCGCCGAAATGCCCTTAAATGTGACGACCTGAAAGAATAAAAATGGGGTTAAAAGGGAGGCAAAGGTGCAGTAACAGACTGCGTTCAAAAATCATTCCATCGGTCCTTAAACTGGGATAGGAAAATGAGGGTTCAATACAGGAAGACTAAGCCTTCAAGTTAAGGTTTATTTCTAAAGCCTGAATATAAGTGGCCAATTCTTGCCCTTTTTTAGGGTTTGGCTTCAACAATGATCAAATTCATAAAGGTTTCTCTGTAACTGCTTTGTTCAGATTTCTTTGCAGGAAACAGATTTTTTTTTTTCAAATAAAATATGGTTAAAGAGCCCAGCGTGCTGTGTGTCACTGTTGATTACTGCCACAGCAAAGTCTGGGCCAGGTGCACTACTTTTTTAAAAATGTAACAGGTGTGTCCAAAAATTGTGTAGTGAAGCCTCAAGAATACTACAGGCAGTAGTGTTTGCTTTTTTCAGACTTTGTGGATAACACCTTTCCCATGGAATTTCATAACTTAAGATTTGTGAATGATTTTTGTCAAACCCTATTTTCATTTCTCTAGATGTACAGCAGCGTCATTGTCCCCTTGCTTTCTCCCACAATGCAGTTCTGCAGTTCCCTCTTTCCCCATTTTCTTGAAATTCACTGTGTCCAGTGCTCTGTTCTTGAATTCCCCTGAAAAAAAGTCTGTGCTCTTGGAAAGAGATCTTTATCGTCTCCTTAGATTGCCATTCCGAGAATGTGTCGAAAATTAACCAACTTGTTCATTGCTCTCAAAAACAAAACACCTCCACCTGAAAAACTTGAAATGAAATATGATTGAATAAATAAATAATTTCATTGATGGTGTAATCTGGTTGCTTAGGTTCCACTTAGATGAATCTTGACGTGTGATCACTGTATATTATATTCAAGGAGACCATTTGTAATGGGAGAAGCATGTTGGGCAGGTTGTTGTTCAGACAAAAAAGAAGAGAAAAAAATGTGGAAAAGCATTTCTGCCATGGTAGAAGGGCCACCCGATGCACAGGCAAGCACATGCCCGGATTTTAGCCACCAAAGAGGCAAAAGGACTTTCAAACGGGACTGTAGTTCTGCACTGTTTCGTTCAGTGGGGAAGACTCATGGCTGACGGTCACAGGGTTTTGAAGTGTCTCCAGCATGCCATCCTGACTCAGTGCAGAGGGATCGAAGGTCAAGCGGTGGGCAGGGCTGTCTCAACGGGAGAGGTTTTACTTTGCGGTGCATCTCAGCTGCCCATTGCTTGATGATCACCCGAGGCTGTTCTTTAATCCCTCTCTCCAGTCTGGGCTCCCCCCCTCCCTTCATTGCATGAACATTTAGACTTGGCACTAGCTGTAAGCAAGCCTTTAAGATTCCCCGAGTGAGTCGCGATCATCACTCGTTGGCTGCCTATGTAGACCAATTCCAGCCCCTCTCCCGTGCAACTTGACCCTGACCCCCCCCCAAAATCGAACATAGTCTTCCCCATTCAGCCCATCTACTTGTCCCTTCCCCCCCATTTTCCCCCACCTCGATTCCCACTGTGTTTTTCTTCCTGTGAAGGACCCAGTGGTGCTCCCCCGTCAGATTGTTGATCTGTACACATCAATCTGCCTCCTCTCCTGCCCCTCTTGCCCCCTGCCAGCTTTTGATGTAGTGTTCATTTCCGCATGATTTTGCAGCGTTCATTTCCTTTCAATATTGCACTGATACCTCCCGATGTTGGCATTGGCATCAGCCTTCACCTTTTTTCGTTTTCCTTTCCTTGCTTTTGTGGTCATGTACATATTTTTTTACAACTGGTCTGCCACGTTTAGTAAATGCCAACCATATATTGGTGCAAATAGTGAAGCAATTTCATATGTACATGTGACATGGCTGTTATTGTTCCAGTGTGTATCTCTGTTCTTTGAAATTTTGTTACAACTTGAGAGATTTTGTGGCCTACTCATATGAGACTCTAAAAATAACTTGTGTTGGATACATTTGTTATGAATTCCAAATGCCAAGAAGCCGTTCCATTTCTGTGCCTGTATTGTGAAAAGGTTACTTTTTTCTGTGTGTTTGTCAACATTTCTAATTATGGCGATATTTCTGAGCAGTTTATGCTTGAATAGTGCATTTCTGGATTGTCTTTTCACATTAAGAGTGCGAACAAAACTGGACTTGAACCCGAGACCCCATAACATCCACTCCCCCCTCCCCAGCGTATGGTAGTTCCGGTTGACCTATCATCAGCATTGAGCCTTATGAATAGACAGTTTGCTACCAAAATGCAAGGCACAATTTGCCTACCACTCGCTGACCCTTCTTCTGACAGAAGCTATCCTGTATTATAAGTGTGAAACCTAGTTTCCATGTCAATGTAAAGAGATGCAGACAGCATCGCTGAACAGTCCCTGTTGGTTGTGCAGTCACATGGAAATGATTATTACCACTGTGTGCTAGGTGGTTAGTGTGGACCCACACAAATACGCATGCTGGCATGAAGGGATGCACTAGACTGTCTCTCATGCTTGAGTACCAAGTATTAATGGCCCATCTTCTCCTTTGATTGAAAAAAATGAAAGTGGCCATAAATGAGATGCGTCATGTTGGAGTACCAGTTTAACAACCATCCCAAAAGGCATTTCACACAAAATCTTTCAGATGCCATTTTTTCCCCAGCATTTTGTTGAGTAACATCACAGAACGTCTCATCTGCGCCTGTCTGCCTCTTGATCTCTTGCCCGGTGTCAGCGATCTTTGCAACCATATGGAAACTTGGCTGTAGTGGGGGATAAAATTGTATACCATTAGAAGTTCCCCTTTAACATGCAGCTTCTTATTCTGAACGTGACACCAACACCCCTCACTGGTAAATCAGTGCAACACGGCATGCCACCTTTGCAGTAATTATCTCTCCACCTCTATCCACCCCCCAGCGATATGCAGCCATGCACATTGTGCTCGTAATTATCCGGTACCCCCAGGAGCAAGGTTGGCATCATGAGCATATTGGCAGTGGTGTATTCTCTTTCTTTTTGAATACCTTGTTTTTTTGTTTTTGTTTTTGTTTTTTCATTGTAAAGTCCAGTTTAGCTTTAGTTATGATTAAAGAAAGATAGAGGGAAATACCCCCCAAAAATGGAACCTGACAATCGTTTCCCCAGAGACTTGATTCATTCCGAGCCCCGACTCACTTGACCTATTTTTTCCGGTTATTCGCAGATACCACTGAGTTGTTTCAACACCGTGGTAACAGAGGAGAGATCAATCACACTGGACGATATCTCAGAGGTATGATGTCACCTTGTTGAGACCCCTGCTCCTCCTTCTTCTGTCTTCTGACTCTGTCCTTATTTATCCATCCCACACTCGCGTCAGCAGAAGATACTTTCCATAAGGGACCATCAGTTTTTTTTCTTTTTATCATTTTCACGAGCACACAAATTGTTTGGGAGTTGGTCATGCGTGCTTTCTAAAATTTCTATCATTCACCTGTCCGTTCCACTTTGTCGTCTCATAGAGCATGTTAAAAAGTACCCTTTGAATGCTGGTGAAAATGATCGAAAAAATGGACACCCCTAATTTGTGCTTTTTGCAAGCACTTTTGCGGGAATAAGTGTGAAGTGTTCAAAAAGAGAAGATCTTTTTTCTCCTAGATTCCATTTCACATTGTGCCTTCCCTTTGCATTCAGCCCACTATTACCTCAGTGGTTTGATAATCTTTTGTGCATTCACTATGAAGAAGAAAAAAATCGGCGACTTAACAAGAAAAAGAAAAGTAGGAGCTAGCCCCGGGGAGACAGGCTGACGTCCCTCCCGCAAAGCCCCTCCTGAAGGAATCGTGTCAAGCACCTAAGAGAACCGATCGAGGAGGTTTGCCCGGAGCTTAGAAAAGGGAGATTGTCGAGGGGCTCCCATCCTACCTCCCTCCCCCCCTCTCCAAAGATTGTATCAGATGTCCTGTTCCCCCGTGCCTTGGGGGAGGGGTTCAGTTACAGGAGAATCTTGCTAAGCGGAGTTAATGTGCATGGGTGGGGGTAGGGGGAATGGTGAGGGTTTATTTTGTCCGATCGGGATGATAGATGACAGCCGACGATGCGAAAAGCTGCTTCATAGGTGGATTTTAATAGAGACAGAAGTCAGCACAGGCTGAGCACTATTTGTTCCTACAAAGCCAAGGTGGTGCGACCCTGACCTGTATACTGCTGCACAACATGGGGATGCTGCATAGCTCTGCTGAGCATAAATGATAAGAGAAAGGAACTCGAGGCAGTGCTCACGGGATTGTTCAACCCGAGCCTTTGGGTGCTCAGAGCCTTCATCAGGGAAGGTACGGCTTGCTGTGATGGAGAGTTTGATCTCAGAGAAAGGACACAGACTCCACCTGCAGTTGATTATGACAAGGCGATGATGAAGGTGCTGAGCACTGAACTGTCTGGTTAAACTATCCGCTGAGCACTGTTTATTTCTCGTATGTTTTTTTTTTTTTTAGCCCTACCTGGGTTACCCGGCTATGGCTTATAATAATGCAGGTGCCTATGGGACATGGATTTAGCCACAATGTAGAGGCTTCTATTGGCATAAACTAGCAACTGGCCTCATCCAATTAGTTTGCCTGTGGCCTCCACTTTTTTAAGGCTGTGTCTGAGTTACCTGGCTGGGGACTAAAATTATGCGCAAGTCTATAGTAGTGGCAGCGACTAGTTCACATAGAGTTGTGTGTGATTTCAAGCCATAACCAAGTGATTCGGATGCAGCCTAACATTGATCAAGTCCTTCCATCAGCTCCATTTTTGTATTGAAGTACCCCGGTTTAAATAGGAGCAGATGCCACCGGGGTTTTCTATATTCATGGCGAATTTTCGCTCCCCTCTCTCTTTGCGTATTGTCTGCACTGGTCACACAGAACAGCAGAACAGAACTGGAACAGAAAATGGACATGAAGATCAAGTCACTACTCTGTGTTCCCGTCATCAACCAAGCCAGGTCAAAGGTTGTCGCCGTTGCCTGTTGTATCAACAAAATAGGAGCCCCAAGGTCAGACGCAAATCTCATTACCGGAGTTATTGTGCCATGTATGTTTTTGGAGGTTGACTGATTTTTTCATCTTAGCTTTACGTTCATGCATCAGCTTTATTAAGAACTGCCGTGATATCAATATTATTATAATTTTATTATCTTGTATCAAGGCCAAAATGTGTTCCTGAGACATGCACGTGCAGATGAAGCCAAACAAGCAAACATAACTTACCAACAAATTAATGAAATTCCAATAACATTCTCATACCCCTTCCCTGTTTTGTACCCTCATAACCTTTCCCTGTTTCTTCCCAATCTATTGATCTTTCTGCTAACCGAAAGAAAAAAAAAATTCCAGCGAGATCCTGTTCACTCATGCGGGTAACACAATTACTGTCCACAAACGAAAACACATTACGAGCCACAGCTGATTGAGTTACAGACTTATTAAATTTGGCTCCGCAGATGTGCCGCCGTAGAGGGATTAAAAGCTGAGAACGTAAGCTCATAAAGTCACGGCAGTCTCCAGACTTCTTACTCAGTGGAATTAATGACTCCAAGTTATTAATTGATTTTTAAATTAAAAAAGTATATATATAAATGAAACATATCAATTACATTGCCCCTACTGAAACTGTTCCTCAAATCACAGGATTTCTGCTTTTTTTCTTCTCATGCATTACAAATTGACAAGTATTCTACAAAGTTTTCTACTGTTAATAATTTCCTCTTTTTTTGTAAATTCCCTGTTGAATGCCTTTTCATCTTTAGTCAACTGATTCACTGTTCAGTCGGTGCTTCCCAATTTTATCAAGAGCTGAGGATTGAAATCAAATGGAAGTACAAGAAAAAGCACCCATTTTGTCGTGCAGTCAAGCCTGAATTCATGACCTGGCCAGGCTGTTATGTTTATGAACACTTCCAAAGGAAGGTGCAAAATTGGATCTTCATATCAAATGAATCTCACCATGATGCATCTCCAACTCCAACAAAAATTGTTTTTAAAACTATCAGATTTTGAAATAATCAGTGAGTCTACACTGTTTTCAGAGGGAAAACAAGAAAATCGACAAAACAGCCAACAGCGTCAGCACAGGAACCAATCCAATCTTCTTTTAATTTTCTGGACGATTTGTCGGCTACTCTAATGAGATTTTTTGTCGGCCATGCAAACAAGCCATATGCATCAGGGCAAAAGTATGTGTTTGTGGCGAGGAGATTTGTCTTTTTTTCCCCCTCATTTCAGGATTTTTTCATCAGGATTTTCCTGATTTCAGGATTTCTCAATCTCTTTCAAAGTCTGGAAAATCCTGACTTTATTGTGAAGGCATGTGGGTCATTCTATAAATTTGGGGTCCAATTCTTTTCCCATCCCTGTTATGACTGGCATTTGATTTTTAATGTTTAGAACTCACTTTAATTTCCAAGACTGAATAAGTACTACAAATAGCTTGCCAAACAAATAGTTTGAAATCAATGTCAGTGATACGTCCCTTGTCAAACATGTCAGATGGTATACATGTCAGAGGTAAGAGGGACGGAAAAAGTCACACTTTGGACCCCAAATTTATCGAATGACCAATGTAAAAGTTGACGTACATGTACCTGTAGAACACAAGAAATGGAGATTTTAATGGTTGTGTTTGGGCAAACACAACTGTTTACCATGGACCCTAGGCTGCTGGTGAATATTTCATGGAGAATTCGTTTTCCTCAAATCTCATCCCTGTTGTGGGATTTTTATGAAGGGGGGGGACAGTGTTTGTCTGCTGTTTTCATTTGGACTTTGCATTTTTTTACATCACGGCTCATCTAAGAAGAAAGATCTAGGGATTTCTTGATTCACACTTGCTGTATCCACAGGAAGCCATGTTGTGTTCTATGATTTCCCACTGCCATATTCCCTCCCCAACCAGAAATCCAAATGCCATCCTGGATTGCAAGTAGTTTGTATTATCGGAAGTTAACTGTTTGTGCCATATCTATGTCAGGCACCCTCCTTTAACCAACTCAGAGCATGTCATCAGATAGACGGTGCTTAGGAATCTGGCTACTGTTTCCAGGGCATAACGCTTTGCTTTCATCTAGATAATTACATTTGTAGTTCTCCCCGAAGCCAAACTTCTCTTCTTCTTCGTCATTCAATACACATCCCAATCTAATGCTGATTTAAAAAAAAAACTGTTTAAAACGTAAAACGTTGATAGATAGGATGATTGAGTTGTGTGTTTTTCAGGTTGCTTTTCTATTCACTTGTGAAAAACAGAAAACTGGGATACAGTGGAACAGGATTAGCAGATATTTCTAGTTTTATTCAGGTGTTTTCATGCTAAGGTTAAGGTCGAGAGGTTGATTTTATCTTGCATTAAAAAAAAAATGTGTTTTAAAAAAAGGGAACTTGAGAAAGCCCCAGGACTCCACCAGGGGTCCTTAAGTCCAAGATTCATAAAAACAAAACTGTTTTGGAACCCTTGTTTTTATCCTGTTTTCATGGCTACTGACATTGGCATTACTGGCATTGCCCCCCCTCCCAGATTTGGGCAAGCAGACGAGGATGTAGTAAGACACTGTTTTCGCTACACAGTACCTGTCTTGACCAGCGTCATGTCACTGCAAAAGGAGAGGCAACTCAAGCAGGAAACGCAGGTATAGCCACCAACCATTATGACTTTTTTGGGGGGGGGAGTGGTTTTCTGACTTTCTGCCCATCTGTTAACTTACATGTACTTGTCCTCCGGTTTGTTCAATGTAGTCTTGTCTTGTCATCAGTCACGTGCCTACCGTATCTCTGAGATTGTCTAGTTCAAGTCTTTTTTTGTTTTATTCTGTCAATAAACACTAACCAATTACCAAAAGTATAAAAACAGTAAAAAGAATTTGGGGTCATTTAAAGGCCATGGCTTAAGAGGACCCTAATTATTTCTTCTTTCTTGGCGTAATTCAACTCGATCAAGAAAAGAATATACCCCCCCCAAAATTCTCTCGTGCTTAATTTGTTTGCCGTGGCATCTACCGGTTTACGTCACCCGCATCGATTTTACCCTGTTTCCATAATGAGAGAGAAAAAAAATTGTCTTCCAGGCACAAGATGAGGGAATTTAAACCAAAAAAAAAATTGAGGGAAAAGAAAAAGGTTGTTTGTCTAACGGCCTTGGCTGTGCATTAGAACATTTGACTCCCCACAGTGGGGGCCTGTGATGCACAGTGCCCATGTTTCTGTGTTGTGAATGCATGGCTCAGAGTTTCTCTGCATTTTTTAATAGCTTGTAACCTTGCTGCCCTCCTCAGTACATGTAGGATGTGCTGTTGGCTTTTTTTTGGGGGGGGAAGAGCATTCTTAGGTCATTGCCCTGTCATACAGTGGGTCCTGCATACAGCGCATCTTATCCATTCAGTCTCTTCTCCAGTTTGATCAGCTTTCGGGTCTGAGCTGCATTCTGCTTTGAGAAATTCTTGTATTTTCCAGCAGATTATAGGATGTGGTTTTTGTGTTGTGAAATTTATTTTTTGAAGGTCACAGTTTTAATTTTTGTACAGATATTTCATGTTATTTGTATTGTATATTTTCTCTTTTGAACCTCACAAACTGACGCGGCCTGCGTACTCTTGTTGGCGTGACTGTCACAAATTCATAACTTAAATGCAACATTTTTTGAACCTGACATTTGAAGTGTTTGTGTCTGTACATGCGGCACATGATACACCACTTTTATATTACAAAGTCCTTCCCTGGATTGGAAACATAAGGTCTCTGCAAGAGTTCTATTTTGGCATTTGAATAATTTGCATACACAAGTTTATCATTAATTGTAAAGGACCGAGTTAAATTATGAGATGTACACGAACATTTCTCAGGGGAAAAAAGGTAAAAGTTTGGGAGCAGTGGAATATATTGTTGAGTTTATACAGCTCAAGTGCCTGTTTGTACTTAAATTTCTTCCCCTTATTTCTCTTTGGTATGGTGGTAAGATTGATTTTTTTGTGTGTGTTCCTTTTTTCAGTCTATGCTCCAAGTGGCCAAGAACCTCTTCACACATCTAGGTAGGTTGCATGATGATGTGACCACTTGGTCCACATGCCTTCCCAACCCCTGTCCCTTTGTCAGTATGTTAATTTCCTACCCTTCAGGTTCGTTAGATGATCACAACTGGGGCATTATTAGGGATGAAAAGGTAAGGCCTGATTGGTTGGTCGGTTCAGATTCACTGACTGAACAGATTGCAGCTCAGGAAGCAAAGGCCAATCGTGTCATAGGACAGAGCCCTAGTAGGGAGAGGTTGGCAGCCGAGAGGAGGCGTTACCGCCCCATCAAACCGGCCCCTTACCCCACGCAGCCCACCGCTGAAGACAGGCAGAGGAGGCGAGGCTCGCGCCTCTCCCCGCCTCCGAGGCACACCCTCATACAGCTGCAGGGCCAGAAAAGGAAGCTGTCGGAGTTGGAAGCATCTCCAACCGAGGAGTCGTCATCTGAGGTTCTTGCCAAAATGGAGGAGGACACGCTCTCGGCTCTAGGGGAACTCGGCCACTTGGGTCACAGCCCGGCACCTGCAGGTTCCTTGCGACCTCAAGATGACTCCGAGTTGCCAACCTGCGACCCCACTCCTCTTGGCTCCTCGTCATCAAGTAGCCTGGAGCAGGAAGAATTCTCTCCCGGCTGGGATCAGCACCTCGGCACCCAGGAGAAGGCCAAGGATTTCCAAGCCGCAAATGACGAGGCCGACCTCAAGCTGCTTCAAGCCTCCTTGCAGAAATTGGGCCAGAGCCCTCCCAAAGAAGATGATACTATGGCAGATCCACTGCTTATCCCGGAGAGTGCACCTTCTGCTGAGATGGTGCAGCATGTCCACTTCAGCAAGGAATCCTCCACCTCGGATGTACCAGGTGGCACTGACGGATCCCAACCGAGCAGCCCTGATGTAACCACACCCTCGATACTCATCAAGCATGAGAGCCCCAAGGGAGGAGCAAACCTAAGGTCATGCGGTCAGTCGGCGTCCGCTCACCGGGGTGATTGGGAGACAGTGGAGGTGGACAGCCAATCAGGAGCAGGGTTACCAAGTCGACAGGGCAGTGTGCTTGAATTGGATTGGTCACCTGGTACACTGAGCGTCCACTACATTGACCAGCCTCCGTCCCTGTTGCTGCAGGAAACTTGTATGTATAAGCTGTTCATTTGGGGGTTGGTGTATCTTTCATTTTAGACATCATCATTATAACATGTGTTTCCTTGTTAATTGCTTCATCGTTGATATCTTGGTTGATTGGTCATTTCACAGTTGATTTTCTAGTCAGTAACTAGCAGTTAACTAACTTGAATTTTTGTGTTGTGGATGTTTGACATGCAACATTGTTTCATTATTGGCTGTTTTATGGATTTATGCTTAAATTCTTGTCGATTAACACTGAAAATTTAATTTTAAGCATAAACTTTCAGGACTACCTTTTCTCTTATGTAATTTTGATGGATTTATTACAAATGAATTAATAAGTGATCCATTTGATAACACCTTGGAATGCTGAAGTTCAATTTGTTTCATACTAATCTGTAAATTTGCTTGGGTTGTTAGATGAATCTCCCAAGTGTTTTCTCTTTTTGGGTAATTGTTGAACATACTTTAAAGGTTTTTACAAATTTTCTTGTCCAGCTCTGGCAGTAGAGGGTTTGTTCATCTCTACTTCTTTTCAGATAGCTGATGGTACTTGGAAAGTAATTTAAAAATCGGGCTAAAAACAACATTTTCAAGAAAGGTGATTCACCTCAGACACAGAATTTCAAACTTTTCAATCGTCACAACCTTCTTCATTTTTTGGCCCAAGTTTCACTTCCCTGTGGTGTTGAGCGACCAAAAGGTACATTTCAGACCAGGGGGGGAAAAAAAAGGCAACTATTGGATTTCAGTAACAGGATAGCAGAATTGAATTAGTCGTTCATCATAAACGGCAATCTGACTCTGAGCAATTGGATGGCGGGAGATTGATGTCGTCAATCGTCAATCGGCTCGTGTCTCCCCGGTCCTAATGGTCGTTCAGTTGTCTCCATCTGTCATTTATCACCCGCACATCTTGCGACTGCCCATGGATTGCTGACTGGCTTTCTCCAAGATCGGAAGCAATCAAAATGGGCCCCATGTGGTACACCGTGTATATCGGACACCTCTCCAAAAAAAAAAAAAATATGTCGAAAGCCGCCAAGGCCACTTTTGAGAACCTTGCACAGTGTATTTCAGTAGGAACCTTCAACATGTTTCACCTGCGTGAGGTCTCTTTTCATCACGATGCTAAACTGAGCAGTAAATCTGAATGAATATCTCGGTTTGCTTTTATTTATTTTTTTTTTTCAGTAATTCTGGGCTAAAACAGAATTACTGGGAAAAATGGTCTGAAAGCTTGTGTTGCAGGATCGTGTCGCATGCATGTAGATGTGGCACATGTATTGTTGATCCTTTTCTGATGGCTCATTGGATTCCTGGTTCATTGTGGAGTTGTTTGTTGTATACCTGTTTAAACTTTGCACTTTTGAGAGGATTGACATTTAACAGGTCTGTGGAGCGCAGAGTTCGCTGTTAATTTCAGATTACTTTTTCACCAGTGAGTTTTCCATTCCGTCTTTTGCAGTCTCAGCAACTGTGAACTGGGAGGTCAATTTTTGGTCACCTTGCTTTTTCAGTGACATGTGAGGGTTTGGCTGATGAACTGGAGATGAGTCACTGATTTCTTCAACTATATCATAATGTTTTACTGCAGAATAATAAACTCAATATTTTGTGTCTGATCTTGTTGGTATTACTATTTGGTTTTGTTATGAATTCTGTGGATTCTGAAAATACTGAGCATCCAAGGCTCTTGTTCAGTTGGAAAAAATATGCGACTGGATCCTTCAAAATGATTCTACAGGCCATTTTGCATGTAATTTGGTTTCAGTGTGGATCAGAAAAGGAAATTTGATACCTTTCTCGTGATGAATCAGTCAGCCTGGCATCTAGATGGAAATGGACACAGTCGTGTGTGAGTGAAACAATGTTGAGGGTCCCTATTGATCTACACTGTGCAAGATGCTTGTCAGAGTCTTGAGTCAAAAGTGTGTCTGGCGACATCCGGCTCGTTTTGGTAGACTGGGTATTATACACGTATCAACTTCCCAGTACCAAATCGTGATCATGTCTACCCTCCTGCCACTAGTGGGCATGTTCATTTGACTGAACATGGGGTTAAATTTTGTTGCCCTTTTTTTAAATCAGTATTTTACGGTATTCAAATAGTTTAAGTTTAGTGTTTAGCTTACATAGACCTTATCAAAAACAGGCAGCGTTTCTTTAAAATTTGGATGTTGCACCAGGGCGTGAAAGGTGCCTGTTTGAAGAAAACTTGTCTGCTCACATATCTGCCACCTTTTTCTTTTGCCGTTGGACATTGCCGTGTTTCCTCTCCAACCGTGAAAACTGGACATGATAGGATGTGGCGATGCATCAGATAACCAGCTCAGTGACTTCTTTCAAGAACGGGGAGGCCCTGAGGTCATCCCAAGGTTATCCACACCTACACGTCTGCTGGCCTTTTGCATTGGTGCCCGTGGACTTGAAAGCATATGGAGTAAATGCGAAAAATGCGGCCAGCATAATTACTGCATTGGAAATGCTAAACCCCCACAATGCTGCTTGCCAGTGGCAAGAACACCTTAATTGTCAGGATGTGGGATGTTGGTGCTAGGGGCTGTGAAATGTCTAGACAGACCTTCGAGTATTTGTTGATTTGATTTATCACAAATTTTAGTAGCTTCACACAATTTGATAGTCATTTTACAATGTACATATTTATTTTTCATAAAAAGTTGTGTAAATTGATACTGTATTAACAAACATGGAACATAGTTCTAAACAATCATTGGAATTTTAGTAACCATCTGTTTCTATTTCCCTGGTTCTGATATTTCGTTTGTGAATCTCTAATATCTATCTGTAATACCCATTTAGTTCACTGAATTTACCCACTGTGACAAATCAAATTTATTTTAAACCATCCCCCAAGCTGTGTAATTTGTTCAATATATCCTGCCTACTTTCCCATAACAGCATGTCCAGCCGTTGTGTACAATCCAATTTTCTTTTACTGTCCCAGAATCGTCTCACCTGGCCTAACTTGCCAGCTTCCCCCGCGGTGAAAAATCCATCACGCTGAAGCCCAAATCATGCCCACGTGAAGCCCCCTGTGATCCCATTACCTCCTCTCTTCGTCTCCCCCTTCCTACTTTTCCCTTCCCTGGAAATTCCATTAGGGACCTCGTGTGTTCCCCCTCCCCCCTCGGGCAATGAGGTTCAACTCCCCACGTTTTGTTTTTACCCCGTCCCCCTTCGCAGTTCTCCCTCCCCTCGCCCTGTTCAACTTTCTCTCCCATTTTCCCGGTGGCTGAGTGGTGCAAGTGTTACATGTGGGGGACCCAAAAAAAAAATATCATTCTTAAGCCGACTTACCGAGCGGATCGGACCCTGTTGTTGTAACGACAACTGGGAGAAACACCGCAAATCCACTTGAGTGGCATTGCAGCTGCTGATGAGCGAAGTGTGCGCGAGGTGGTCGCACATGCTCCCTGCCCGCTGAGAGACGTCAGAATGACACGGCTTAAAGGCACCACTCGTTGCCAAGTGCTCACCAAATGGACTTGTTTGTCCCCACTTCTTCGGGCGCATCGCGCTGCATATTTAACCAGTTGTTCAACTTCTGTGGTGCAGGACATGTTCTCTTTGATACACCTCAGGGGACGCATAGTACCCCAGATAAAATGGAGGATGGCGTGTCTTCAGGGGTTAGAAAGGATGCATGCTTCACCGTCACAGAAGGCACAATTTGTTTTGTTACATCATTGTCACTTAGTCCAAAAAAAAAGGTAATGGCTGCAATTAAAACCATCTTGCAAGATGTGAGATCGGAGGAGTGGACCCTTGCGGTGATGAGTGACACACGTTGCATTTTGACCCTACACCTGTCCACTGGCTGGAACCATGCCCGGGAAAGATTTGTTCTGTTTGGACGACTTGGACTAAATTTTTGAAGGACTCTGGCTTGTCCCCACATTATTCTAGGTTGCCGCAGTAATTATCAGACATCACATCATAAAATTAGTCCCACAACTACGGAACAGAACATACACACAAGGTGGCGTGTGGTATTTGAAATAACACCCAAACTGCATGTTGTACTATGTAATGTGAAACAGTAATGTACATGTACATGCAGAGTACTGGGGCCAACATTGGTCATCTTATCTTCCGGATGCATTGGTCAGTTTCCAGTCATGACTTCATATGCTGGATGCTAGATGATCATGCATCGTAACTCATGATTGTAGTTTTAAGCTTTGGTTTGGTGTGTCATCAAGATAGATTAACTCTCTATCTTATTTTATACGTCTTTGTTTTGCAACAGTGGTGAAAATTTGCTGCAACATATGCATGTTACCGCAACATATGCATATTACCGCAACATATGCATATTACTACAACATATGCATATTACCGCAACATATGCATATTACTACAACATATGCATATTACATATGGAAATTGATATCTGTTGATTGTTTTAAGTTTGACACATGGTAAATAAGAATTCCGAATTGTCACTTTTTCTGTTTATAAAAGCAAGTAAGCCAGCAACCAACCAACCAACGAACTGACCCCCCCCCAAAAAAAAACAAAAGCAGCAAACACACCTGATTACAATCGGATTACGCAAAGAATCAAGTCGTTACTGATGTCACATTTCCTTCCTATTTACGGTAGACCCCACCTCTGCACCAGAATAGAAAACACCGCCCCAGGGACTGAATTTAATCCTATCAGTGTCCCTCTTCTCCAGCCCCCCTGACTGTCCTGGGCCTTCCTCTTCTTTCCTCAAGTCGTCGTGTTTTTACAGTGCAGTCACGCTTTGCCCTGATGTGATCTGGCATTCATCAGCCACGGCCCGCCTGGGCTGGACACTGTTTCTGTAACACCCAGGCTGTCCGTGCTCAGCATTCCCTGGACAAAAATCTACATCAGAAAATGTCTTTGAATTTTTGATAACTAGTTCCCCTGTCAGATTCTGTCCAACTGCATTGCTACTGAAGGTGGACCGATTTAATTTAGAAGTCATGTGGAAACTATTAAAAGGTTTGATTGCATTTGACAGAATTTACCTCCTCTTGCATTCTTGCTTAATGTGTTTGTATATTTATGTTTATTTACTAATTAATAACTGGAAGTTTCATTTAAATGATAGTTCAGACATTTGCTGGTTGTTGTTTATTATTACAAAATAATTACATTTATAATTAATCTATTCTCATTTGACTCATTAATTTTTGAAAAATGTACATTGTTATTGACAAATTCTTTTGCAATTGTTCTTCGTTTCTAAATTTCCTTTATTGTTTAGTTTAAGTTTTAGAGGAACATGTTGAAGGAAGGGATTATTGTCACAACATACATGTACTTTTCAAAGCCTGACGTGATATTTTGCACAACAAAATGAGTTCATCTTCTTGATATCTGGTGTCCTGTCTGTTTTTATCATAGATGATGTACGGATATTGTTGAGGGAAATAATGATGGAAGCAAGGAACCTGACTCAGGCCGAGAGGTCAGTGAAGAAGAAATCCTTGGGCGCAAATAATCTCCATAGGTTTGAAATCTGTCAGAAAGACAGCATTGTTTATTGGGTGGCATGCCTTTAAAACATTCACAAAAAAGATGGTTTCCTGCAAGTTATTTTTTTTTCCATTGAACCCCTGTCCTTTTTGGCTCGCTCTGTATTTTCGGGATTTGTTCAGTGCCCCATGTTTGCTGTCTGTCTCAGAGTTGTAATTTTTTTATTCTTTTATTAACATCCATCCAAATGCAATTTGTTGCAGATGTTCCTTGTTCCTGGTGGAGAACGATGAACTCGTAGCCAAAGTATTCGACGGCCATGTCTTAGATGTAAGTAGGTAATCCCCGTTGAAAAAAAAAATTAGTGCGTAACGTGAGAGCAACTTCTCCGTCAGCTGCGCTGTTTGTTAATGAAGGCTACAGCCAACGGTGATCCACAGAAGAAAAAAGTTTTCTTGTCACATTTCCATCTCAACCTCGATCTCTCAATTCATTTCTGTTGTTTCCTTCAACAGGAGATGGGAGAGGTTCGGATACCAATCACTCAGGGCATTGCTGGGCACGTAGCCACTACTGGTAAGTTGATTTCCCTCTGTTGAATTTATTTTATTCATTTCATTCTGTTTTGTTTTATTCTGTTACAGTTTGTTTCACGAGAGTTAGGATTTATGAGAGTACTTTATCTATCAAACTTTGCCAAAAAGCTCATTGAAAACACATAAAAAATAATTGGCAAATAATGCCCAAATCCTCTTGTCTTAAATGCGTAGTTAAGATTCTGATTTGCACTTCTACTGATGAGTGAGTGCTATCCAGTGTCTGTCCTGGGTAAGCTTAAATAATACACAACAATGCATCTTAACATCTGTCACTAGACTAAAACTCTGGTCAGATCAAGATGTCATATTCTTCAGGTTGAATTCTTGCAATGTGCTGCTTTCAGTTTTCACGTATTCCTCATTCATGTGCCTTGGCCACTGTTCTTATCGCCGTGTTCTTTTTTCTGTCAAACTAACGGGTGCTAATACATAGCAATCATGAAGATGCAGAAAGAAATTGACAGGAGCAGGATTTGACTCCGTCTCCTCTTAGAGTATCACGCCGTCTGATGGTTTTTGTCCCTCCTTCTCTCCCCCTCCCCATCTCCCAGGCAAGATCCTGAACATCAAGGATGCCTACTCGCACCCTCTCTTCTACCGCGGAGTGGACAACAGCACGGGCTTCAGGACCCGCAACATCCTCTGCTTCCCCATCAAGGATCGCTCAAGTGAGTGTGCAGAAGGAGGTCAGGACAAATTTATTCTCCAATTTTAATCCGTATGTGTGTGACATCCAATACACAAACCACAAGAAGTCATCTGTCGCTGAGAGCTTGCTGTTTGCCAAGATCTCTTCATCCCGTTCACCTTCATTTTTCACTGCTTTCTTAACACGACTCATGTTGAGGTGAAGGAATGTGTGGTTTATTTTTGTTTGTTTGGGGAGTTTTGAGGGCTTTCTCACAAGCGCTGTCATCAAGATGGATTAATCATCAGAATTGAATGCTTCCTTTTTGCTGTTTGGACGAAAGACTTGTGCTGCACTTGGTGGCAGCAAATATACCAGTGTCCCACATGACCGATCTACTGGTGTTTACATCCCGTGTGAGCTAAGGCACACAAAATGATGCAAACAAGCCCGAACCGGTCTCATGAGACCGGTTTGTTTGCTGCCACCGAGCGCCTCAAAAGTCTCCCATGGCGTTGGTGTGTTTGCCATAGAATCTAGTCTTGGAGTATCGGTTGCAAGTTTGCTCAGTGTGGCCAGTAGCTTCCAGGACGATTGGACGAGTAGAGCTTGGGCATCTTTTGCTGTTGTATTTGATGATTGAATTTGTTGTTGCTGCAGTGGTGTGGTTGTTTTCTGGTCCACAGCTCTCGTCTCTGATATTTTGTTCCAAACTTTGTTCCAGTACTTAAACTGTTGATAGCAATGCCTTTTTGGTTTGAGTAGCTTAACTTGAGTACCCAATGGAGGAACCTCATGGAGTCGTTTTCTCACGATGTTTTGGAGTTTGTGTTGTCTGAACTTGTTCAGTTCTGATTAAACACAGTGGATCAGCATCTCTCTAAGCTTTAAAAATGAGCAGAATCTCTATTTTAGTAGCTAAATGTAGAGCCAATATAGGGAAGCCATAACACCCCCCCCCATCTCCCTTGTCCCTTCCCACTCGACCGCAGCTTGTGAAGCCAAGAGACAGCCCTGCCCTTACAGAATGTGGACATTTGCAAGACAGTTCACCAAATCACCTCAGTGGCAGGCTTGAATGTGCATCGTTTTATACAGATTGCCAGTTGTTGCATTCAAGAACTCGGCGCATGCTGTCCTCGCCGCTATTGAGTTTTGCAGCCCATTGTACCCGCCGAATTGTATTGCCCACAACCAGTTTGTCGCAAGGGCTTTTTGTTTTCATGTTTTCAAGAATGGCATCTGGTTCCACCTTTTCTTTTGAGACATTTTTTGCTCCCAGATGAATGCTGCCTCTTCCCAGTCAAATCATGGAGCTTGACATGATTTGTTTTGTTCGATTGAATGCGGTCCTTTCCAATCTTCTGTCGTATTTTACTAACCTCCGTACGGCCGCCGTAATCAAGAACACGCACAAGGGCCCAGACCGACAATCGCGCTACACACTGTTAGTGTCTGAGCAGAGCATCAGCTAACTTGGTGGGAAAACAAGGAAGAAATAGCCAGTTTGATTTCTTCGTGCAAAGAATTTTGCCCTTAAACAAGGCATATTTAGTGTGCACATTATAACCAGTTTTGACCGAAACACCTCACTAATGGCACTGGGGGTTGTGAATGGTTTGAAACTATAGAGAGTTGGATCTTTTTATCAAGAAAAGAAATGTACTTCATACGAATCAGTTTTTAATTTTTTAAATAAGGCCGTATGCTGTAAGGTGCACTGTAGGCCATGTGTACACCGTTCAGAATCAATAATTCTGAGTGAGATATTGAAGTGAATCGACCTTGTAGGCCCTACTTTGTTTCAGCACTTTCATTGCAATCAGTTACCACACATTTTCTTGAAATCCTTATTTTCACCAGCTTGAAGAGCCGTGCCAGATTGAATCTCAGAACACAAACGTCTGTCAGTTCACTTTTAGGTAATATGTACACGCAGCATAAACAAAAGAAATGCATAGTGAAAAAGACCTGCATTTTCATTCAAAATTCAATTTTACCAACAGTTAAGGATATATATATTTTGTGGGTGTTTGGCCTCCATCCCTCCAAATCAGAGATAAAAAAGATGATCGCGATGAAGCAACAGTGGTGTCTTCGGTACCGCTGTTCCTTTTCTTTTGTAAGAAACATTTTCTGCTCCAGTTGACAGGGCACAAACATGTTTTTCACCAGCGTTGCTGCGTCTTGTACTGAAGATGCCAAGTGGCCTAGAAGCACAGCCGCCCTCGGGCCGCAACCTGCCCCCCCATCCCCCATCACACACTTCATTAGGCCCCTACTGCAGCTATTAGCCCGTCTGTTTCGATGGCGCATGCCATCTGTTTTCCTCCATCTGACCAACAAGGGTGGGAGGGGAGAGGGTGTTCTTAAGTCGGGCACTCTGGTCAAATTGGGCCTGGTTTCAGCTGTCGGCTTGTTCAGATGTGAGGGGTGCTATGTGTGCCGGTGGAGTTGAGGGCGAGTGCGTGGGTCGAAAAGGGGGGAAAGCGTGCCTCGCCGGGGAGCGTGACTCGGATACTACCATGTATCACCTGGATTCCCACATCACTCCGACATACCAGCAATCTGCGAGGTTTATACAGGGCAGGGTGTCAGTTTCACAACGTACTTCAGTAGCGTATTATATCAGGAAGTGGAACTTTTAAAAGTAGGTTTCAGGAGTTGTGGAAAATGCTTTTGCATTCCTACACATACATGTATGTGCAAAAAGTGCATGTTGGTACATTCTTCTTTCTGCATATGCTTCCAACATGAAGAAATCACGATCACTTTTAAATGAATAAGTAGTTATATCCAAAAGGAAGAAGTCATGAGGCTTCCATTTTGACAATCTTCACTAATTCTATTCAGACACCCACTCATGCACGTTCTGTCGATAGTTCTTTCTTTTTTTTTTTTACACACTGTAGTAACATTGCGTTACATATTTCATGTACCACCTAACTACCTAATTTTTTTTTATTTTGTTCTCATTTGCGGTGTGATCTTAATCCATAAGATAGGAGTATTCTTGAAACGTCCTCAGCAAAACCTTAGAAATTAATTAAAAAGATGTACAAATTAGGGAAACAGTTTAATATTAGTTAAGAAAAGTTATTTAATCTTCAGTAGCGTGAAAAGTGCTCCAACTCATTCCATTCGCTCTCCATGTTCTTATTTAGTGCCATTGGCATATATGTAAACTCCTATTTATTCATGAGTGCACATTTCTTTCATACATACGATTAAAGACATCTGTTATATATTTTAGCAAGAACCTCAAATACTTATCTCGTGCATTCTGTCATAAATAAATATGCATCATATTCGCTTTTGGCTTGAGGTGTTGAATATTCATGTGTGTGAGGGGATCTTTCTTACCGCTGCACAGGCCAACCGGGCTGTCCCTCTGTGCTTCACAAGGACCCATCACAGTTGAAAGACTGTTGGTGTGTTGGGGACGGTAAGCGCTGCTCCGAGCGTCATGGTTAGTTTGTGACTTTTTTGCCCTCCCCCGAAAAACAAAAACACCCCAACCCGTTGAGCCCGCCATGCATCATGCATCAATTAAAGACCTCATGAATTATGCATCAAAAGTTTGAAACCCACATGAAACAAATGCATGTTTCTGTTCACTTTGAAGAGTAAAGATTGAGTGATTTTGGGGAAAGCCTGACAGCAGTGTGAGGTTCATTACTGCAGTGCCTTGGTATTTTTTTTGCTAGCTTGAACAAATGGCAGAAATCTGTTTCAATTCCCATCCCGCTGTACACTTGTTTTTGCCAAATTGTTACAGAGCAGAAACCATCGGAGTTAGGTATGTCACCATGAATAAACTATTGAGCCTTGCATGTCAAAGAAATGGTGTATGAACACCCCCCACCCTTCCTTCAATGGGCAAAAATGGAATAACAAGCGTGCAAGCTGTTTTTAAGTAGCATGCAGTTGAGTCCAGCAGATGCTTTGTTATTTCTCTGTTGGAATGTACCATCTTGAGATCTGGACTCTTTGATGCAGGCCAGTTGCAAAGTTCATGAGAAGTGAGTAAATTTGTCAATCTGACCAGAGTCCCCTCTTTCACCGTAACCCTCACCCCATTCCTTACCCTTGTCCAGTCACTTTTGTTGTTGGTTACCCGTGCCGAGTGTGCACAGTATTGCTCAAGGAGTCCGTATTGCTGGAGTTGTTCTGCCACCTTGGGACTTGATGGAACTCCAGCATTCCCTTGCATGGCAGAAAGTAACAAACCTCACATCATTTCACCCCACAAGTTTGTTCATAGATTGTTGAACATTTGCACTGTACTGACTAACTGTTTCTGGATGGCCACTTCGAATAATGAGAGGAACATTTCAACTGATGCAAACTTGGAAGGTGTGATTTAGGCTTTGATACTTGAAAGAGCTTTGAAATTTTTCCTCCCAATTGTTTCATTGGCTTCATATAATACACAGTATGCATAGGCTCCGGTGAAAGCTTCTGTCATACTGACAGAGAAAAAGCCTCATGTGTGAGGTTGGAACTAGGCACGGGCCTCCAATTGCCCCTTATAGAATATGTGTCATATCTTTACAAAAGCATTTGGTTTTATGGCACCGACTTCCCACATACAGACGCAAACAAAATGTATGTTTACTACAGACATTGTCAGTGCTGTAGTCCAATACATTAAATTTGTAGTACAGATTTTACTGCCAGTGGTTAACTTGTTTTAGCGGTAATATTGGCACAACTACAGATTAATTGGGAAATATCAGTACCTATACATGTGGTAATGTGAATGAATAAAGTTGTGATTTTCGGCATTGGGCGATGTTCACCATAGGGCAAGTGAGTCAGTGCCAGCTTTTTTGTCTGGCAGCACATGCACTGTACCACCAGGCAACCTAGTCAGTCACCTTGGAGCAGCATCCCGTGTGACAAAAATAAAATAGCATTCTCAGTATTCATGGTTGGTACAGAGTAGGCACAGAGTGGGCAGGGTCACTGCCTGAACACCTGGCACACAGTCGCAATGCCTTCGATTCAGCCTCTTTCTCTTACTCACCACAAGGAGGTTCTTGTGCAGGGCACTCATATTCGAAACAGGCTTGCAAAGAAATTCCATTTTGAATCCTCACGTGCAAGTTATTATTAGCACAGCCCTGTTAAGGGGTTGCCAGCTCATGCATGACAGCTATCCCATCCTGGTCCCTTTTTGTCTGAGACTTGTCCACAATTGTTTCAAATGGTTGCCTCCCAAACCCAAACCCAAGCTACACTAGGGCCTATTCCAGTCGGAAGGCTTCCGTTTAACTTCATTTGTGAAAGTCCTTTTTGGAGATAGTTTGGTATCTAAAAATGGTAATGTTTTGTAGAACTTCTGCTTGCCCAGACCTTGTTAAGCTTCTATTTCTCTCCCTACAAATCTTATTGCCCGACACGTAGTTACTACATAGTTAAAGAAGATCATCAGCTTAGAAGTGCCCAGCATTTGGTGTAGTACCCTGATTTCACCTGTGGTGTATACATGCTCTTTGTATGGCTCTAGTAAGCACAGTTCAGGACTGCCTGTTTAATGGTCACAATTAGCATTGTTGATCCAATTTTCCAGCAAACTATCTCACAGTAGAGATCTTGCCACTAAGAGTTTTTTTTCCTCTTCATCCTCTGCAGCCAGTAGCTCAAGTTATCTCAGCTCATGCTGTTATTTTCCTTCCTAGTTTGATACATGTACGTGGATGGCCATAGTTTTGTGCCAGTAGCCCCAAGTGGTCCTGGGAGGTACAAGGTGCAAAATGTTCTCCCGGACGTACTTACTGTATTTGTATTGAAGACAGTGTGATGAACCACCCCAGGGAAATCATCTCATCACCACCTCTCAGCTCGAGTTGTCCATGTTCCAGCTAGCACACCCCCCCTGCGGCTGAACTCGCCCTACTTTGGGGCTGTTGCTTCCCCCCCCCAGGTTTCTCCGACCGCATACTGAGCAACCAGACTGTAGCCAGCACGATTACTCATCGGACAAGTTTCTCAGAACTGCCCGATCGGAATATTCTCTCTCCCAACTCCCCACCCCCCCCCATGCAGTTGGCAACACCACAGAGGAAAGTATGCCCCGATACCTGAAAAACATCCTCAGGAAATAACACATATTCTCAGAGATCTTAGAAGCCGACAAAAGACGAGCTCCCTAAATGAACACAGTTGTGCTGGCATCGCCTGCAAGGATGAGCATATTAGTTATTAATATGAAACGCCTTCCATTCATCCCCCCCCCATGTGAACGGATGGTGGATCAAAGACGACCCGATAGTCTCCCCCGTCATCAATGTGGTCTCATTGTTGTCAGGTGGCCTACTTGTGGGACATAGCTCATTGTGGACACGGAGCCTGTACCCCCATTAATTGCTTCCAGACTCCCCCCTGTGGTGTGGCGTGCATACATGTAGATGAATCATTCCTCTTATTGCTCCTGGCGTCTTTGAATGCTTGCATAATGTTGTGTAGGTTCAACACTGAATTTTTCTCAGTACCTATTTAGTTTTGGGGAGGAAATCATTCTGTAAATCAGCTAAAATTGTTCATGCCGAGTTATCTTCAATCAGCTCTGTTGTGTTGGAGTAGTATTTCAGGAATAAGTGTAGTTATATCCGTTAAAAATAAACAGATCTTGCACTCAAATGTAACTAGAATTGATTTTCTTCTGGAAGATAATTTTTGTTGGAGGGACCATCTGTCTCTTCACAGGCGGGGATATTTTCCGCAGCCTTGTCTCTCTCTCTCTCTCTTTCTGTGATCTTATTTGCTATTGTGAAAAGCATGTGATCATTTGCAGTCATTTGCCAGTTGAAACTTCCATCATGGCAACATCACACAAATCAATTTGAAAAGTAAAGCTTTTAAATTATCCTTTGCAAGTTTCATTGGTTGTGACTGCTTTAATGAATTGTAGAGTACACTAACAAGTTTCTCTCATGATCAACATTTTATCAATGGGTCCTTATCCTGGTTTTGGTGATGCGGTTTACACAAGTTTTGCACGGACGTGCGAAGGTTTATGTGGATGTGTATTGGTGTATATTGCTGATACTCAAAGCAGTGCTGGCCAAGTACATAATAATACAGCATTTATGTTCATAAATAACATGTTGTTCATAATTGCCCTGATGTTGAACCACACAAAGATCAGACTCAGAACCCAAGTTGTGATGAAGTCACTGCAAGTCAACCAGACCTATTCCAGATGCAGGATTCGAGGAGTTCCCTTTCTGTCCTTGTGATGATAAGCCCCTTTTTCTCTTGACTTGCCACTTTATCATGTGTTTGACTGGATCACAGCCACATGAGGAAGTCTGACTAACATCTGTAAGCACATAAAGCAGAGTTGTGTGGACTTGAGGCAGCATGACCTCTAGATTTGAAAACATGACTGCCCTACATCCGTGACAGGACTTGTGGGCTCTCAGCAGCATTGCCACAGAAGTGCATATGGGTTGTAATCATCCCCCTATATCTGTATGACTTGGTATTTATGATTTATTCCCATCTGCTCTCAAGCTAATTTGTTGCTTTTGAAGTTTAGTTCCTCCATGAAGCCAAAACATCTCCATCTGAATGATTTCCACTTTAATGTGTGATGCTTCTTCGTTACTTTATGAACAGGTGTTTTGTTTATTTTGTTTATCATGTTCATTGTATTATCTACCCTACGTTGCAGACTGTTGCCAAAAGTCAATAATGTGAAGTAAAATCTGTACAGTTTGTGCAATCACAGCTGTACAGACACCTGCTTACCCAATTTTGTTGATTGAAATGTGTGCAGCGCATTTTCTCTGTGGAGATATTGGCGGTATTAATGTTACTTCAGTAAAATACAATGCTCCATATTTGATTGGCTGAAAAAATGGGATTTTTTAAATTGAAATGTTCAGTGTACATGTACTTCATAGTTTTGACTTTTGGTGAAGATTCAATCCTTCATCTTTTCCTCAAAATCCAACATTGACTACTTACGCGTGTAATACTCAGTAGTTGGTTTCATTTTCTTCAATCGTTTCATTGAGAAAATTTATCTTTGAAAACGTTTGTAAATCTTACGATTGAGGTTTTTTTTCTCTTTAAATTACAGCCGTTGTTGGAATTGCTGAGCTATGCAATAAAGTAAACGGTAAGAATGGAACTCTTTCTTAACTTGAGATTGAAGTGATTATTCGTTGGGGGACTTGGTTGAAGAACATGGATTCACAGTGTTTTTCTGCCTATACGCAGTGATCAAATAATGTCCTGCATGTTGTATTAGTGCGTGCTTCTGCAGCACTTAGAGTTTCATTTCCTGTAATGGTCACGAGTATTTGATCCGTGATGGGGGAAATTGTATTTCCTTGCCGAACAGGTCTGTACTTTACGAAACATGATGAGGAGGTGGCCGCTGTATTCTCAATCTACTGTGGCATCAGCATTGTACATGTAAGTGCTGGGAAAACTGGCCACCCTTCCAATTGGCCGCCAAAGATCTGTCACCTATAATCGGCTTCTGAAGTTTATCAGGGTGACTTGGCCAGGAATACGGGATGACTTCAACGTGGCACATACTTTACCTTGGACTCAGATTTTGCCTGTGATACATTCAAGTGCATGAAGCTTTGACAATGAGGCCAGTGTGATATTCCAACAGCGCATGTCCAAAATGAAGCCGATGAGGTCATTCAGGAATAGCAACGTGCAAGGGTCTGCCCTGATGTGTTGCCATATGCTGACTCACGTGTGCTTTTTGCTTGAACGAACTTGCCTTTTTAAAATACCAAACTTGCTCATTGTCATGATTCTGAGGCTATGAAGATACAGCAGCAGAACATTAGGATGTGGACTACTCTGATGAGATGAGCAAAATCTGAATTGGGTGATTTCAGACCCTCATAATCTGAAATTTCAGAGCCTGAATGGTTCAGGATTTACGACTTTTTTTGCACTTCACCCGTTGTACAAGTTTCATATAATCATAGCCATTTGAGAGACTTTGTTGTTCTTCATTGCTTAAGTCTCATTTTATTGTCATTGTTACAACCCCCCTCAGCTGGATGTTTTGAAGATCTTACCCCCCGTCTCATTTCCGTACTTAAAGCCCGCGTACTATAACAAACTTAGCTTCCAGTGTTGAGTAAGGAAAAACAATGTACTTATTCATTCTCAGTTTTAACTGAAGCACTGCCGTGACTCTTGGATATTTCCATTTTTTCCCCCCCTCTCGAAATGGTGGCAGAGTTTACTGTATAAGAAGATGAAGGATGCGCAATACCGCAGCAAGCTGGCCAATGAGCTGATGATGTACCACATGAAGGTAACGCTCTGACAGGCTGATACATGAGAACTGCCCCCGGGCACTTTGCCCCCGTTTTGTACTTCAAGGCCCAATTTGCTCCCAAATTACTTAAAAGGGTTTGTTGCACTGAGGTAATGGAGGGGAATGTGACCCACCACGGGCGATGTGTAGACCATTAATGACATTCGGATTACCCATGCGTCTACTCAGTACCGAAAATGTGTCAAAGCACAGCATGATAAACAAGACAGCGATAATCAAAGGAGTCGTTTTCCGTGTCTGTTAAAGAAGATAAAGACATTTCCTCAAAAAGGGAAATCAGACACTGAAGAAGTTCAAGTGCTTTTGCTACAAACCCCCAAACACCTGTTAAAAAAAATGTGTCAGGGATGCAATATAGAGCACCAAAGGGTGATGGTTAGCTAGCCAGAAGGGAAGAACAGCCTGGATCATGGGGGGGGGCTGCGATTTCAGCTACTGGATCAGAGTCGTTTTGATGTCATTGAGCGGGCTTACTCCCTAGGCACAGTAAATAGTGGAAATTCCCGGGTTGTTTGTAGTGACAGTCCTGTGCAGAAGGCACAGTCAAAAATGAAGTCATGTAAAATTGCATGAAGAAGAAAGATATTTTGGACTTTGGTAACATGTTTGTCAATCTGGTGGTACGACATACCTTTTGAAACATTTGCGTTGAAGTCACTAAGAGATTGCGGATCCGGACTGCAGCAGCATCCAACCATTGTGATAAATTAATAGCCATGCTGGCCTGATTTCATTAGGCTGCTCAGCAGAATAATCACATGGCCAGTTTATGTGCCAAGCAAACAGTTCCTGGGGAACCAACCAGATTTGGCACATACAGTTTCATGAATATTGAGCTGGTAGCCTGTTTTCTTGCTGAGCAAATAATTTCTCTGCATATGGCAAATTTCTGTCCCTGCTCCCTGGGCAGTGTCATGTTGGAACTAATGCCAGCGCTTGTGTGCATATGTTGATTTTCCCAGGGTACAGAGGAGGACATCAAGCCACTCTTGTCCAAGGAGTCGGTGCCTAAGCCCGAGTCCTTCCATCCCCAGATGGCAAGCTTCACCTACTCACCCAGGGGCATCCCGGATGAAGAGACCATCCGCGTGAGTAGTCAAGCAAGTCGGCTAACCTGGGAGTGTGTAGGCAGTAATGGTCATGTGCCACAACTCTCAGAAAGCTTTGAATGTGGGGTCATAGCTAACGGTAATAACATTTATAGATGGAGTATCAAGATGCCTGGAATAACAGTTAGGTTCATCTCTGTTTTTAGTTTGTCATTTAGACTCTCAGCAAATTTTGGTTAACAAGGTTTAATCTGTTATTTGGTTAAAATGCAAGTTTAACGTGACATTGGAATTGCAATGAAAATTGCGATTGCGTGAAAATGGATTCATTGAACTGGGCTTGTGAAATCAGTGCAAGACCATAGGGCTTCTGCAGTCATGAGTGCTCTCTCACATTTTGTGACCCTATTGAACAACTCTGTGGCAAGTCTCCAAAGCCACTTGTGAGTTGATGACCATCCTCGTCCCCAGTGTGAATAAGCAGGTACCATCAATATCTATCACTATACAATGTGTGTATTGTTCATCTGGGTGTCAAACTGAGTGATACATCGGAACAGACTCTCCTGAAATCAACCAAGAGTAGCCCGCAAGAATGGCCCTAATGACTCTTGTGGGACCCCAGTCATATTTAAGCCGGAAATCATAAAAAGAAATCACTTTACCAATCCTGCAGGGATCAGGCTTGCCAGGGAGATGAAGTCCTTTAAATGCCTCTTTGAACTTTGTGAAAATCCCTTGGGAAGCATGTAATCTTATTACCTGGGCCAGAAGAGTGTGCATAATACTGAAGAGGAATATTGTATTACACTGAGTGATGCGCTTTCCTTGAATGCATTTGGACAACTCTATGAGGTACATTTTATCAGGCTGCGACTGGATATCCAAAAGCACAGTCACTGTGTTTGATGGAAAGCCACCTGGCTGTCCGTGATGGGGAATGGAAGTCTTTAAAATAGTGGCTGAACTCGTCATGTTTGACTTGTCATGCTTGCACATATGATACTTTTGTTCTTTCATAATTATTTATTTTATTATAACTGCTGACATTCTATTGTGGGTGATGATTTCCTTCTCCCCCCCCCAAAAAAAAATAGTGGGAAAAAATTGATCATTTATTTTTAAAATACAAAATTGAAAACAAAAGCAGTGGGAAAAGAAATGAAAACGAAAGGTGGAAATGGGATAACCCCCAGCATTGAGGGTTTGGTGGTTTGCTGTTGATGAATGCTTTTCTTCCCTTCTGGAAAGAGCTTTACCACTTTACCCCTTTCCCAGCCATGCCCATGCATTCCAGGGGCTATGTTCACGTCATAACCTCCTTTGTGCTTCATGCTTCAGTGTTTGTATTTTGGCCTGCTGAAACCAAGGACCCAGACTGAATTACATATGTTCAAGCCTTTGCTCCCTAAGTCCTCACGAGCCCAGCACAAGTCACTCACAAACCAGCCAGTCTCAAGTCCCCAACGGTTCAAACAAATGTCCGAGAAGTCCCTTTGCTATTGTTCACCTGCTGTGTACGGGTCACCAGCCATGTGATCTTCCTCAACTTGATACCAAAAGCCCAAATTGTAAATCAAAATTCAGCAAATCGGCATTTATTTTTGTCGTCCTCTCAGGCCACATTGAGCATGTTCTACGATATGGGCTTTGTGTATCGGTACCGCATCAGGCATTCCACACTGGTCAACTTCTGCACGCTGGTCCGGCGAGGCTACCGGGACCCACCCTACCACAACTGGTACCATGCCTTCTCCGTGGGCCACTTCTGCTTTCTCCTATACAAGAATCTCAACCAGCTCGATATGCTCAAGTGGGTACCATCGAAACGGCCTGGTAGCCAATTTAGACATTTTGTTGCCAACAATTGTGTGCTTGCAGGTGGCAAAACTCAGATGAAGAAGTTTCGAATTTGACATTATGTTTTGGTTTCAAGTCTCCGGTTACACTGGATCCTATGCACACATGTACACCAGTATAAATCCACAGCTCAAAACGAACAGGTGTGATTTGGTCAGAGAAAGGGAAGGACTAACATTTAGAAAGAAAATTCACCAGAAACTCTTGGACTCCGCATTTATTGCAATTTTAAGGATACAGCCCGTCACTTTTTCTGTTACTGAACATGATGGTTTAAGTTTGGGCCAATTGTGAAATTCACTGGCAATGTCGCATAGGCCAGGCTAGTTCAGAAGATATACATCTCACTTAGATGAGACATTCTGCAGTCTAACAACAGCCAGTCATTTGACAGTGTTTCAACCACAAGTCTCTTTTTCTTATTTCTCTTATTGCTTTTTTTTTCCCCCAGGGATATTGAGGTCTTTGCACTTTTTGTGGCCTGCATCTGCCATGACCTGGACCACAGAGGAACCAATAACAGCTTCCAGGTCCACTCGGTAAAAACAAAAAAAAGCCCTCCCCCCACTGAGGTCCAGATGAGTTGAATATCTGTTCTCCGTGGCTGATCAAAATCAGTTGTTTTCATAGCTGTAGCAGCTATGACTTTAAAGCTTTAAAGGGAAAGTAGGTTCCACCCCGTTTAGATTACTTTCAAAGGGTTTGGGGAGCTTTGTATCCAGTTTGATTGGCTTACTGTGGTTATCTTGTTCTTGAATCACTTTCAGCAATCAGTCTTGGCAGCCCTGTATAGCTCAGAGGGATCAGTCATGGAGGTAAGCAAGGTAGTGTGTATCGCTTGAGAAAAAGATGGGGTCATGCTTCATGTGAAGGCAAACAGGAATGCAGTTTTGTGACCTGAGATTAACCATTCACATTTCATATCAGGCTAAGTTTGCCTCAAACACTTCTCAAACTTGAAAGTTGTTCGGCCTTTACATTCGCCTAAACTGTGAACCAGCCTAAAAGAGATGATGATTAAGAAATGTGGATTCTCGTTGGGAGGAATTGACGGAGTTGCATTTGGAGGTTGTTTGGAATCATTGACAGTGGGAGAGATGAGGGTTTTGAAGGAGAGACAGATCTGTAACTTGTTAACAGGGTGAAGTAATTATCGTATTAAGACTCATAATTTTAATGACAGGTTTGGCCTTGAAAATGACGCCACATGTTGATCCCTTTTTAGCTGCTGTACAAGTCAAACATCTCAACCTGCCACAGCATCATTTTGTTGGTTATCATGGCATCTTTGGTTTTTTTTCCTTCACTGTGTCATTTCAGAGACACCACTTTGCTCAGGCTATGTGCATTCTGAACACTGAAGGCTGTAACATTTTTGAGAACCTATCCACAGAGGTGGGTGACGTTTACTACTTTTAAAAAGTGTTAAAGTATCCGATGTCAAAAGCAAGAGATGATTCAAGTCTAAGCTTCTTGCCATCATTTCTGAAATAAAAAGGTTCTAATGTTTTGCACTAACAGACCAGTATATCCTCATCGTCACATCAGTGTTGTAGTCGAGACCACTTAAGACCTTCACAAGACCAACACAAGACCTCCAGTCTGAATTCAAGCCACAGGCTATTCAAATGAACTGCGACAAATCATTCCTTTGTCATTGATCACCCTGTTACTTGTGACTGGTCTTGTGCATGGTCTTGACTACAACACTGCTTCACATGGATACTGAAACTTAATAAAACTTTCACCATCTACATGCAAACATCTTCAAGATTCTCCCACTGTGTCTGTGGTGCCTGTGGTGCCTATGAGTTGAATCTAGAAAATGATATTCCATCTGGATACAGTGTTTAAATACTTTGTAATAATTACTCTGTGAAATACATTGCTTACAATAAGCACTGATCTTGATTGAGGTCTCCTCGTGCCCTCTGTTGAATAGGATTACCAAACAGTCCTGGACCTGATGCAAGACATCATCCTAGCCACCGATCTGGCTCACCATCTCCGCATCATCAAGGAACTCAAACAAATGGCAGAAGGTGTGTGGGCCGCTTTCAGTGCTGGCTTTGAAAATTTATAAAAGAAGAAAAATATGTAGAATGTGAACAAATATTCACACTTTGTGCATAGTTTGTATTATGTACAGAAACAGTGGCGTAATTTGTCATTCTCCTGTATAAGAACAGAGGTTTACTTCTTAAAAACTCCTTTTCAACACACCTTCAAAATCCCAGAATGTGATCATTAAAAAAAGGTAAGGGGGCGTCTCACAAGTTGGAACGTCAAGAAACAAGTTCCCAAGAGGACTTACTTGTTCCTACAGGGGAGCACCTGCTGTCACTGCTTTGAACAGTGCATATTCCCAAATGGGAAGACCGGTCTATATGCATGCATGTTAGTTTAGGAATGGCGTGTTCCTGTAGTAACACAGTGAATACGGGCGATTCACAATCGTGCGCCTCCAAGAGTTTGCAACGTGTTAACCAATCACAAGGCGCGAAATCTGTTGACCATTTCCAAACGCGCATTGGGTCGGCAGATTTCGCGCACTGTGATTGGTCAACACGCTGCAAATCTGGGAGGTGCACTATTGTGAAACGCCCACATTTCACATCGGGAAGCACAAGGTGTTCCACGGAGGAGCATTCCAGTGGGAACTGGAACATTCAGACTTATGAGACATTTCCTGAAAATAGATCTTTTGTTTGATGTGATATCAGATGGCTACAAGGTAGAGGATCCCCACTGCCACAAGTTACTGCTGTGTCTGCTCATGACCAGCTGTGACTTGTCAGATCAGACCAAGAACTGGCAAACCACAAAGAGAATAGCGGTAAGCTGAGCCCCTCCTGCCCTGCCCGCTGGTCCATATTATACTAGACTCCAAACCAGCAGTCAGTGTTCAATTCCAGGTGTTTATTTCTTAATTAATAAAAGCAGTCGTTTTGCATGAGATCATGGTTAAGACAACTTTTCCTGTTATTCCATTGCCTATTCTGGTTTCCTAGGTGTCAGTATTTTTAATAACAATATTCCTCACACTCTTAGTTTTACCAGAAGAAATGTTTAATTTCACCAGTCTATATTTTGATGCAATTTTTCTGTCAAGGGATCTTGGGGAAAAAAGATATAGTCTCTATTGGTTAGCATTCCCCATTTAAATCACCAGTTAATATTGTGTACTAATCGGTCCATATTTCAACACTATTGCCCTCACCCTCTTGAATCAGGAGCTCATCTACAAAGAGTTCTTCACCCAAGGAGACTTGGAGAAGGCCATGGGTATGGAGACGCCTGAGATGTATGACCGAGAGAAAGCCTGCATCCCTGAGCTGCAGATCAATTTCCTCAATCACATCGCTCTGCCAGTCTACCAGTGAGTACCAGATTTTTAGTTTCTTCCACACCGGCACTGGCATACTGTCGATTTGGTGCAAGGAGGGACCACTGAAAATTACCATGTGAAGAAATTTTCCTGTGATGTTTGGACACAGGGCTTGATAGTTGGATCGACATCTTGGATCTTTTTTTTGTTTTTTACTTCTACATTTTTTTTGGTGATCATTTTAAAGTCAATATGTTTTGTTTCAAATATGCTCACAGACAGAAGTAAACAGACAAAAAAATGAACATTCTTCAGGAGACTTTTGATGTTTGGTTGGAATTTCTACTTTTGTAATTGTCAGATGCTTGACCAAGAATTTCCAAGATCGTTTTTTTTTTGTTAAGTTGATTATCGCCTGAATCAACTCCAACATTTTCCATTCCCATAGCCTGTTCCCTTCATCCTTGAAATTCAACTCTTAAAAAATCATCTTTCAAAGTAATCAAGGAACCCAACAGTGCTGGTATATGGGTCATCAAACATGAAATTCCAATTAATCTCGTCGGCAAATCCCTTGTCTTGCAATCGGTGTTGAATTACCCTTTTTAAGACAGTGAAAGTGCTCCCCTCCTTGCACCTCATTAGGGTATGTCACTGGTCCAGTTTGCAGCTGCTGCCCCATCAGGGAAAACCATTAAAGGGTAGGGATTCCACCGCTCCATAATGTGTGCTGACACGTGGCACAGATGCCACAAACCTTAAACTCTCTTGTCGCAAGAGGTTCACTTTCTCAAAGGTGTGGGTCGGGAAGTTGTGCAGGGAATTTTAACCCTAACGGTCCTCCATCCTTTAATTTTAATATGATTTTTACACACACCCCAGGGAGTTAGGGGTATTAAATACAGTCTTCAGCTGCCGAATTCCTCACACAAACAATCTGCTGCGTGAGAGTAGTGGAGATGCTGAGAACAAAAGCCATAAATGGCGCCCAGTAGTTTGTCATACCGTTATTCTTCAGTGAACATTCATGTAGACCTGTGTGATCGTTTTCATTGTGTAACTAATCATTGAAAGTGATGTTATTTGTTTATTCCTTATATGGCCTCACTGCTAATGTTGTGTCTTATCAGGTACAACCAAGAATCCCATGTTATATTGTACCCACAACACAAAACTGAGTCTGTTGTAGCTTAAGAAGCATTTTGAGTTGATTTCATGAACGAAGGACACCAAAAAAAAAAAAAGATCAAGTGGAATATGTCTGTATTCTTCTGGGATATTATGTCGCACAGTTGTGCTTGCATCATTAGTGCCAAATTTTCACAAAGCTAGAAAAGCCTTAGGGAGAGCAAGCAGGCTCCGATGAATAGCTGACATGTTGCAATGAAAAAGAACCCAAATAATGCCGTATTTCAGTTTGTTGTATTTTTTCAATTTCTTTGCATGGTTTTAACTGAAATCAAACAAAAGCATCCAAATTCTTTAAATCACCTGTCCTATTGTGCCTTGAAAATTCAACATTTTACAACTGGCGGTACACTTCGTTGGACCCATTTTTTGTAGGTAAAATGTTGCCATTAGGAATGTTAGGTTGTACTCCATTACCACTTTCCATTTGCGAGGGAAGCGTAGCCTGTTCCAAATCTGTTGATTTAGTGCTGGCATGAGCCTGGGCCTTCAGTGTTTGCAACTTGAATAACCGACATGCATCACGGCGTCATGATTGGAGTCATGCTTTGTTGGATCCTAGTAAACATTAACCCACTTCCATTGTCAGTTCATGTAAATCACAGGTTTATTTCATCAGGTGACATCGGTTTCGAACCCTCCCTTTAATAATCATCACCCAGATTTATTTTCAGCGTAGTGAACAGATTTTTTTTTTCCCTTCCTGTCTTTTTTGGGGGGGGGTTCTTTTATATGCAAATTGGCAAGTTGGAGCAATACATTTTCTCTGAATGTGTATATTTGACTCCCAAATCAGGTTGACTCCGTTGAGAATGAAGTACATTATAATGAACAAGTTGTCATATTATTTTCCGTGACCTGGCATACCGTCAACCACTGATCTGCAGATACTGTGCCTATTCTGCCGCACGGTGGGCTCACCATTGTGACCTCAGTGTGTTCTGTCTTTCAACCTAAGTGCCCGGTCTTTGTAGAGTTTAAACATTCCTGCAGCAGGATAAATTTAATGACTCCGCTATTGTGTCCCAGCAAATCTTCCCTGTTTTTCCAGTCACATGTTGGCCACATAGCCCCCTTTTTTCCCCAGGGATGGTTCTTAAGAAAAAACCACAGGCTTTTGATTCACTATTTGTTCATGTTTCACGATGTGTTCACTTTGAACAAGTTATTGCTCGGGTGTGCTTACCAGCTGTGAACAAAGGACAACAAAAATTGAAAGAAAATTTGAAACTGATGCTGAAATCATATGCAAAGCCAGCAAATTTCCCATACAAAACTAGCCGTTTCATTGCAGTTCAAATGCAAATTATAAGTCATGCTGGGTGTACATTTCTCTGCATTTATTTACCTGCTGAGGGCTTAGAGTTGATTATCATTTGCTTATTAATACTGCAGAACTGGACTTTGAATGGGATACGATTTAGCCGAGTGCAGTTTAGCCGAGCTGTACATAATATCATATGGCAACAGCAGGGTTAAAGGATCCAGGAAATGAATTTTTCTAAGCATCACTTTCTGTGTATCTCTGTACTCTTCTTCCATGTATGAAGATTGTTCGACTTTTTTTTTTGAGTTACATGAAGTGAATGGTGCACTTTTTTCAAATATTAAAAATTGACCAAGCACTTCTGGAAAAGTGAGGGCACTTCACCTTTGATGTAGATCCAGGAAGACATGGTTCAGGCTGCATGTTTTTATATTCAAATTGTGAACCCCAAATTTACTATCTGGAAACATTTCTGTGAAAAGGATTTTTGCTGGATTATTGCCATATGCTTACACAGCAATAATTTGCCAAAGAAAATGGAATCTGCCATAGCAGTGGTTAAAAAAATCTAGAAATTTTCTTTGCACAAATCAGTGTAACATTGAGATTCAGTGCCTTAGATGACATGATAGTTCTGCTCATGAATATGCAGATATGCAATAGCATACAAACCAAAAAAGCATCAAAATATGGGTTAAAATTGCAAAACAACTATTTAAAAATAAGGTTAATTGAAACCCAAAGATGCAATTTCAAGGGTTTTTAGTAAAATGTATAAAATATTTCTATTTTCTGGTTTCTTTAAGTGCTGTAGCTACATGTATATGTATGTTTACAATCTGTGAGGAATGTTCTCTGACTTGGGCAGAACATCTTTCACTGTCCCACCTCACAGGTCATCGAGGAAATGTTGTTTTCACATGTGTGCATTTCACGAAAGAGTTCTGAGCTCGACTATTAATGGTGGTGTGAAGCACAGAACCATGAGGTTGTCAGTGGACTTGGAATAACTGTGGATGCAATCACGGGAGGAAGTAGTCACAGATAACATGCCTACAGTGTCCCAGCAGCACAGCTGGTCAAACAGTCCCAAAATATTGCGTCTTTATTTCCAAAGCCCATTAGCTCCAGTGCATAGAAGCTGTATAGATCATTACTTATAAAGATAATGGTGTGAGGGGTATGTCATTCGAACATAAAGCACAAGTCATATCAACTAAACCCATTGTAGGCTCAATCTCAGCAATTGGAGCCATACTCTAAGGCATTATCAGCATTCATGTTAGTGACTGGCTTGTCCCTTCATTGCTCCACGTTCCCCCCCCTTCCTCTTACATTGCGTGTACTAAAATCCCTTTTTCGTTCCAAGAGTTATATCATCTCTCAAGGTTTCCGTTGTGTTGTGTGACATCCCTCCACCACATGTGTTCCATCCATCGTCTGCCATCCCATCAACCCAGCTTAAAGAAAAAGAGCAAAAGGAACCCCCCCCCAAAAAAAAGAAAAAAAAAATCCAAGAAAAAAGATGGAGAGGGAGTGTTCCGGCCGGGAGCGAAGCCATACAGACCGAGTCTTTTTCTTTCTCCCTCTACCCTTTGTCCCTCCGTTGCGCAGGATTCTGGCCAAGATGTTCTCACCCCTCCAGCAGCTGGTGGACACCATGGATGCCAACAAGCTGAACTGGGCCAAACTTGCCGCCGAGGAGGCCAAGAAAAAGAAGACCAACAACCATACATGATCTCCACGCGCTGTTTAGATCTTAACTCTGTCACCGTTGTCACCATCCGCAAATCCGTCACAAGAAGGAAACGCATGCATATGAGACCAAACACAGTCCAAAGCTTTCTGACCACAGGCGTAGCATCAGCCATGTTCATTTTGTATTCACAAGTCACACATACCCATAACTTGACTTATCTAGTCAGGTGCCTTTGATGCTGCGAATCTTTCTTTTGTGACTCTACTGCATCCCTCACAAACTAAGCAGCAATGGCTGTAAAGCTGGCCAACATGAAGGCTTATTGAAATGAACTCTTTAAGTGTTCATTCTTAACTCTTTAATTGCCTGGTTTCCTTCCGCCGTGATGGATTTGCTCTGCTGTAGAAACCAGTAATTCCCTGTTGTTTTTGAATGACTGACACCAGTTGCATTGGTTACTTGTAGGGAGTGCCCATAAGTCAATTGCAATGCTCAGAGCCAGCGTCTGTCCTGCACATGGTAATACATTGATACTCCAGAGAACTGTTGTAGCCACATTGGTGAACTCCTCAGTGACAATTGCATAACTTACCTGCAGACATCAGTGAAAGAATGACCACGAATTGTACTTTTACACTCCCTACAGGTACAGCCCCAGTACATAACCCTGATCAGTGGTACTCACAAGGCCTTCAAATCAAATTTTTGCAATCACATTTTATAATGCAATCACAGTCTTCCCTTTTTTTTGGTATCATCGTGACCGATACAAATGGAAGTTTGTCTGAGCCTCCCCCCCCAGAAAAAAGTAAGGAGCTGTTGTCCAGACATAACTTGAAACTAAGAGAAATTTCCTTGGAGGCCGAGTGAATACCACATTGCATGCTGGGTTCTTGAGGCTGATTCTTGACTTTCTCTGTACTAATATTTCTGATTTACCCCAGTTTCCAGATGTGTTCCTTCCCTTGTTACAGTGTTTTTTTATGATTTGTCAGTGGTTGATTCGTTCTGCAAACCACATTCTGATTGATTGTTTTTGTTGGTTTTTTTTTCAAGAGAATACCTTCGGTACCACAAGGATTATGTTAATCCAAAGAGAAAAATCAAACCGGTATAGTTGTGTTTACTTGTTGTATTTGAACCAAAGAAGTGGCAGCTTCTAACTGACTAACTTCCTCACTTTTTTTTTTTTTGGTTTTCGTTCTTGTTCCGTTGCTGCCATTTCGCCGTCCACCGTGTTTCGTCAACCAACAATTGTGTGATCGTCTCATGCACCCTTACCTGCACGTTCACATACTCAAACACACTACCTCCTGGTCAACTTGTCTGCCCCTGTGCAATATCCCACCACTGCCACCACATTGTGCAATCCTACATTGTGTGTGTGAATCGGTGGCCGGTCGTCGCCTTCCCTGTCTCCTCCCGGCCCAAACAATGATGGCTGCCTCACCACTGTCCAGGATCCTGTCCAAGGTCATTCCACAGTCCGGGCTGCTGGTGAAGGCAGTGGATGCCAATAAGACCATGTGGCTGCGGCTGAAGCGGGAGAGTAGCCTGCGCAAGCTCAGCAGCGCCAACTCCATCGACTTCTTTCAGATCCCCTTCCGCAGCGAGAACGGGGCCGCGGAGTTTGGCAAGGGCCTCTCGGAGGAGACGGAAGAGGAGCTTGCCGAGGGAGAGGCGGAGCCAGGGAGGGGGTCAAAGGCAGGGGCTGTGGAGGACATCAGCGAAAGGAATAATAACAACAATCCGGGGCGGGACACCACTACCAAGTCCTCGTGACAGCGTAGAAGCACAGACTCATTGGAACGGAACTCAGTGGAGTGGAACCCATCTTGATATTTGCTTATTTCAGTCAAGACACAACAGTGATCCAGCCATGACTTGCAATCAAACAAGTTGGCCTTCAGCGAGACTCACAGCCCCAATCTAGAGCAACTGCATGCGGCCCGGGAGGTTCCAATGTCTTAATCTCAGGGTACACACTGCACAGTGGGTATAGATATTGCACTTGTAGGTACATATACGTATAGCACCTTGGAATGTACATTACTGGTGATCGGGACAGCATGATGTTTCAGTTGATATGATTTGTTTTAATCTAGCATGTTGGCACTGCACAACATAGCATGTTGTCATGACTTTGACCTTCAGAAGTTGTGCTTAGCCATGAATAGACTCTCAAAAATAATTGGCATTGTACATGTTTAAGAGATGGGGACCTTCAAATGACTCATCAGAAAACGTTTAATTAAAAAGGAATCAACAGAAACGCACAGAATAATAGCAAATTGAATAGATCTCAGACATGTTTCAGAGAGGTCGTGTGTTTTGTGAGTAAAGGCGTTTCACTTCACTATGACAATGTGTGCTTGTCCTCTTATGACCTTTCAGGTTTAACGGTTTATGCATTATATTTGTGAAATGTGTTATAACTTTGGATTTACATGATTGGTGTGAACAGGGCAGTATTCATTTTATTTAGTGGTATTTCACCTGTTGTTATCACTTTATTTGTGAGTAATTATAGGGCTTTTCAAAGTAATCGTTGAGAGTAACTTTTTTCCAATATTTTTCTGTCAGAAACAGCATGATTTGGAAATCTTTATGCTATCCTTATGCCCGAGAGACATTGCTAAATGCGCTGTTTTATTCCATTTAGGATTTTTTAGAACATGGTAGCTATGATAACCTTTTTTCTCCTGCTTCAAGCAAAATGAAATGAACAGCAAATAAAACAGAGTCATTTGGTATTGATGTTTTAAACTGCTGAGGCAGATTAAAAGTGACCGACAGAGATGAGTCGACCACACGCCAAGAAACTGTTTTCGCTTACTGAAACATTTGGAATGATGAAACAATCCCCTTCATGCAGCAATAATGATATACCTGAAGTTTAAGTTCCTGTGCATATTTATACATGAACCTTTAACTAGCCAGGTTTGCCCAGTTTAAATGTCTAAATTTTCGCCTGTTTCAGCGATCCAGCAGTTTTCCATTGTAGTTACATTTGCCGTTGATGTATGATGTGTTTTACCGAAACGATTTCCAAGTGAAAATCTGTCACCTGTGCCCTTTTGAGAGAAACCTTACAATGATACTACCGAAATGAAGGCATTGTGTATTATAATGTAAATACCTGTAAAATCTTGTGTCAGAATATACAGTTATGGGGAAAAAAATATATCGTACTGTTGCCATAAAATGGTACTATTTCCTTGTTTCACCGTCTTTTATATTAGAAGCTAGAACTTCTCATTCTTTTGTAAATGTGTGTGTTTATTGTACAAGGCTAACTAGTTGACGTACATGTATCACCGGAAATCTAGGAGATAAAGGGACAAGTGGGTTGTGCGTGGTAGACCGACTTGAATTAGAACCCGAAGTCCAAAATGTTCTGGAAGAATTGTTTTTCTCACAGCAGGCATAATCGACAGTTACCTCCGTGCACTTGCAACATTTTCGAAACATTTTAAAAGTAGCTTTGGGAAAGAAGGCACTGCGTGACTTGACAGAATATTCAATGTTTAAATTTGCAACAGAAACCTACTTGTAGAGCACAACATTCTTCACTAATTATTTGTGAATTAAAACAAACAAAACAAAGTGAGATCTGTTAGTAACTTCCTATGCAAGCAATGGGATGTGTGTAATTTAAAAATTCCGACGGAATCCGGAAGGAATTGTATAGAGTAAATACAGCATTTCTATTGAGATATGTTTGCATTGCTTGTCTGTAGATGGCTAGTGAAAGTTTATTCGAGTATACATACCATCTAATTTGTACTGTCAGGTTCTGTATGCTTCGTACATTACCTCCGTGACAATAACAAAAGGTCATGTTTCCTAAAGGTTTCGAGTAATTAACCGTAGCTTCGTCATTTTCACAGAAAAAGTGGAAAGTTTGTAGTAATCAATTCATTTCAAAATGGAGGGGAAATTGAAGTCATATAAACAAACAAACAAACAAACTAACTAACTAACAAAAACTAAGCCTGACAGCAGGGGGAAGGTTGATAAACATCCTAGCCAGTGTTATACCTTGATGGAAAGAAGAACAGATTTGATAGACTGCCTTTGTGTTCATAAAAAATGACAAAAACAAGTTAGTGACTTAATTGTAAATAGTTTAAAAGTCTGCTTTATGAACTGAGAAGATTCTATTATGACTTATGGCGTTGAAGCAACTGAGCACATTTTTGGGAGTTTGATGATTCAATTTTACTGATCAGTTGAATGTTGAGAAGAGTTTACATCGAGCATGCCATGTTCTGGTGACTTGTTTTATAAAAAAACATTGAGGTTCCTCTCTGAAATAGAATAAATGTTCTCACACCTTAAATTGATATCGCAGTGGTATCAGACACTTAGTTTTTAAATTTGATGTGTTGAGATTCGAGATTGCAATTTTGTTTCACAAGGAGTACTTCGCGAAGAGAGCTAGAAAATTGTAGTGATTACTGGGGAAAAAAAGATGTCTGTGTGAAAGTATGAAACATGGCGTTAGCACAGAATTAACCAAGTATTTTGTTCTCTTAAAGTACAATTGGAAACTAATGTTCACCAGTTGCATACTTTATTAGAAATACATTGAAACATTCAAAGGATATCTGAAGAAATGTTTTTCGTTGTAATAATTGGTGTTAGTTGAAACACTACAATTATAAAGAGATGTTAGGTCTGTAATAAATTCCTGCAATACCGAACTGCTCATTGAGGAAAACTTACAAAAGTACATGTTTTAGGCATAGTCATATGAAAATTGTTTTAACAGGATACTTGTGTGAATTACATAAAATTTAACAAAGATGAAATGATTCTGTCGATGATTATGTACTATTAAAAGATGTTCTCTTTTAAGGCAATAACATAATTTTTTAGTATTAAAGATACGTTTGGAATTGTTGGTCACAGTGTTATATTGACCGCCCGTTTTGGAATCTTGACTTTTCACTCTTTGTGAGAGAAAGCTGTTGACTTACTTCAACTCGGATTGCAGGACAGTGCATTAATAGTAGGTACCTACCCTGCTTCTGCCTTCAACTTTGACCTTTTTTATGGAAGTTGATGAGAACTTGTTGCTTGGGTTTACTTTGATGTATTTGTGATTCAAATTATCTGACCTGTCTTGTCGCTCATCGTTTCATGGAACAGGCTTCTTTCGCTGAAATCGTTCAAGGGGGAACTTTTTTGCTGTAGATTTCAACTTAGCTGTGACCGTTGCAAAAATATTTTATTTTCCTGGAATTCTTAATGTTCTATAAAGAGTCACCCTGCAGTCACTTTATATTTAAACGTTTTGTTACTTTCTACTTACCTTTGGCAGAATTTCTGTTCATTTTATTATGTTTGTAGATATTTTAGTGCAAAACCAGCTGCTTGAAATGATTTTTTTTTTAAAATCAAGACACAACATTTTCTGTACATAATGACCCTGTTTTGTTACGAAAAAATTTATGGTCGTGTAATCTGATTGATTTATTGATTTGGGGTCGTTATACAATAGTGTGTGTTTCCTAGCGGGTCAAATATTAAGAGATATATTGTTTTCTTATAAAAATCATTTATATTTATGGGTTGAAATAATATTTTATTTGCTTATAAATATGTTTCCTTTTTAAAGAAACTATTCTCGTGCATTTTTTTGAGTAAGAAAGAGGGACATATTCAAATATGGTCCACTGAAATTAAAATGAATAAATGTCTTGTAGCTGGCCAGACAAACAAGCATTATTACTCATTGTGGAGTTTCAAAGCTGCAGAGTAGTGCTTGACATTAAATGCCATGTGTATGGGGACATCAATTTGCCATTGTTAGGCTGTTCAATTCAGTAAGGTACGATGCAATTAAGTCCATCCTGTCTGCCATTTCTGAGGAATTCTTATGTAGGGTATTCCAGTGTGCAAGAAAAACTTAAAAAGACTGCAAAAATGTAGCTTATACACATTGAAACCTGCCATAGAACCTGATCCAGTCCTTTTCCATTTATTCCACTTAGTAGACCTCTGTCGTGGGGCAGCCATCTTGCTTTTCTACCATTTAAAGCAATGTAACCAAGCTGAGGCTGGATGGAAAAATAGTCTGTTCCCTTTATTCAATGTGTGACGTTGTATTAGTTTTGCCAATGCGTCTACAGGGAACAAGACAAACATGGCAGCATCATGACAAAAGTTTACATTGAGAAAAAGCCTCTAGTCATAAAGTTATTGAAGTTATTCACAGCTTACACACCTCATGTAGGATAATATCCTGTACATATTCTATTCCACTGATAGTACTATTTGTAAATGTTAGCTTTATTTCCACTTCCCTACTGTACAAATGAAACTGAGGCGTTGTTACTACGTGGTGTTTTATTATTGACTTGTTAATATTGAGATATATCCTTAGATGAAACATTGTTCAGATTTTTATTAGACTGATTGGCAGTTTGGGACGTTATTTATTCGAATGTTAAATACAAGCATTTGGTGAAGACAGAAAATGAACAGAGGATGAGAAATAGTGGTTATTTGTGTTCTTGCTGCTGTTGCTGTACTTAAATTATTCTAATGATAGATGCTCCACTCGGGATAAAGAAACTGTCTGGTGGGGATCCATCGGGAAAGTTTTATTGACGGAAGAAACCAAGTACCTTGAATGTGTGAAATTGCATTCCCCTATTGTAGGAGTGGTTGTGGCTAAAGGGTGGGTGGATGTGTCGAAGGAAACTTCAAGGGAGACCCCAACCCCGGAAAAACTGTAAAATAAGAGGAGGGGATAAGAGAAGGGGATGGAATCACTAATATTCATGAAAATTTCATTAATGCTCCCCCCCCCCGAAAAAATTGCCTTGCGACTGCCATAGAAGAAGGGATAGAATGCATTGGTAGTATCTCCATCCAAACAGAGAGGGGTGATAAAAGAAACGAGGCTGCTATTACTTAAGAATGTACACATATCGGCCACAGCAGACCATTGTGATAAACATTTGCTCAACTACTTCAGTGTTGGAATTGCCATTTTAATATGGTTGGATTGAAAACACTCAGATATCAATGACTTACCTTATTATTTTGGCAAGTTACAGACGATCAATCGTGCTGAGTTATCGATCCACAAAGAGTAAACAAAGGATTTTTCTTCACATCAAAGGGGTTTGAAACTTTTTTCAGTGAATAAAGATTTTAAAAATGAACATGATCTGTAACCTTCAGCATGGAGGAAGTAATACAGGGTGGGTGCGTGAACAATTAAATTCGTTTATATATTGATAAGAAAATAAGGTAAAATCGGTGCTCTGAAACGTGATCGCCGAACTTTCGGTAACTGAGTACCTTCTTCAGGGCAAGCATATTCAGTTTAAATCAGATTTAGCTAAAATCAATTAACCAGTTCTCTCTTCCGAATGCTTTCTTTATCGTAATTAATCTCCACTCTTGCATTAATTGTCACTAACTTTGATAAAAATGCAAAAAAGGAAACAAAAGAAAAGGGCGCGTTATCACGCCCGAATGGAAACGCCGCTGGTGGCGCACTTGCTGCATACTGAGACAAGAACTTGTATATGCACTTTGTATTTTAATTGTTACTGTGGTTGTATCATGCTTTTTTCGGAACCAATAACTATGTTTATTTTTTATTATTACTGTATCATTTTGTGGGATCTTTGCCAAAACACCTGTCCATTAAGAATTTGCGGCGCTTGTATAAGCCACGCCCTCCCAATTCCTTAATGGTAGGTTCCACGCACGTGACAACAATACAAGCTATGATTGGTCAGCAACAGCGGCAGCGGGGAACTCAAATCGAATGAATGGTTTACCTCAGCTGTTCCATTCCACGCGCATACAAAGATCCACAGAAAGTCAACAAAAGATTCTCTTTATATCGAGCTCATGCTCTCAAATTGTTCATGCAAAATGCTTTGTATGTTGCATTCTGTTTTAATGAGACGGCACGAATTCATTACCAGTGGCCGAATGACGTCGACCATGCTTTAGAGGCAGCTTGAAATTGGTGGAACGTTCAGCAGTTAGGCCTATTAGTACCCGTCGTGCAACGACAGAAGAAAGACGTGGTTGTGAGTTTTAATCAGCAGTGTGAACCTCGGAAACAAAGTCAAAGTGAACATCATCATGTCTTTCGCCTTCAGTAACAATACCCTGAGTTATGACCTGGAAAATTCACAGAACGTTGGCCCTCAGACAAGGAAGACGAAAAGAGAAGATCCTGGACGTGGAAATGGACCTCAAGCTTGCAAAAGAGCCGCCCTTGGAACGCTGAGCACCAACGTGATAAACGTTACGAGAAAGCAGCCATCCCGCGCTGCCAAACAGGTGGGGCCAGGTTAAGTCATGTCATTCATGTCCTCGAAAGTTTTCATCAGTCAAGACTATTTTCAATTGGTAGTTTTGTATGACAAACTGTGCCATTCAGTCTTCAACTGAATTTTTTGTTCTCATTGCAGTCTGTCGTCGATGGCTCCTACGGTTTCCAGGACGAGAACGCCTTTGCCGGGCCACAGGCGGGAAAGTCAACGGGGGGATCTTGTGCCTTGGCGCTACTGCCCAGCGTGGCTCAGCCCAGCTTCGCCATCCACGTCGACTCAGAGTCTGCCCCGTCCCAGACGCGAGTCCACAAGGAACAACAGCCGGTCGAACTACCCTTAGATCCCATTGTCACTTCATTGCCAGCTGTAGAAAGACCACCCCTTAGAACTGTTTTCAGTCTAGATGAAAGTGGTAGGCATAAATACACAGGGGGTCTAGCCTCCCAACATTCACAATTTGTCATGTTTGTTGGAAAGATTTTACTGTTTAAAAAGGCTACACCAATTTGAAGAATTACTGAAAGAATTAATATAGGCCTAGGCCCAGTCATGCCAGTTGTGGGCAGAAGGAATAGCTTGGTGATCATGGTGGTAGGGGGAATGGTTACCCCCAGAACTGCGTGGTTTGTCCTCTGCCGCATTCCTACAAAGGAACGCGGCGGATGATGAACGATAAAAAAAGGAAATGTGATGAAGTCTGCGATTCATCTTACAAAATTTCCGATCCCAGCACAAGTTGACCAGGTGTTTGTGTTATCACATTTACATAGGCCTAGCCTAATTTTGGTTATGTATGTTTTATTACATTTCAAATTTTTTGTGACTTTTTGGCCAATCCGTAGCATCTCCCATGGTCCTCGACACATCACTTAACGAGGAAAATAGAACACCAGCAACAGTAGAGGAAATTGACAACTTGGACGGCGTGTTTGGAGTTCCGGAGTACGCAGAAGACATCTACGAATATCTCCGAGAAGCAGAGGTACTTTATGTGGGCAGTAATTCAGTTGGTCTAAAACCAGCACTTGACATCAAATCTGCTTTCAGTCAGTTGATAACAGTGAAAGAGTTTTATATCTGTCACCTGCATGTAAGACCTCGCGCACAGAGTCCATGAGCCATGATGACAGAAAATGTATATTTTTCAAACATAATTTTAAATATTTTTTCTCTCCTAAAGGAGTGTTTCTTCATCAGATTTATATGTTTTTGTAGTTTCCAAAACATAACAGAGGAAGATAAGCAATGGCAGGATATGGAACATTATTTAATTTTCGTTACCAGCACTTATGCTGTTGTATGCTGTCCAGCAAGCCTGGGATCAGGTACCCCTTTTTTACGTAAAGTTCTTTCAGATAAATAACATCCATGTGAGCATGACCTCAATGATTTTGGGGCTGAGCGCATAAATAAAGGTTACTACTTGTGTCCATTGTCCATACCTGGCAGCACTGGGTTGCCTACAAGACCAGCTGCCAACATGAAATCCTCATTAGCATAACATTAGGATTACTCTAGTTTAACAGACTTATCCCAGTCACTGAGGGAAATACTTGAATGCATGTGCTGCAAGGAGTTTTTCCATCCCCCCCCCACACAATTCTGTTCCCAGGTGGGTCATGCTCAATAGCTACACCTTCCCTTTGTTGAGAAATAAGTCACATAATTTTACATTTAAACTGCAAGTCCCATGAAAGAATGTTGTATCCTCAATCCCGATGCCACTTCCTTGGTTACAAAGTCTGTATCAGGTTCAATCTTTCTTTTTTTCTACAAAATTGAAAATGTTTTCCAGTCTCAGATTCATACCATTCCTACTTTCTTGCAATAACTGATCTTAAATGAAGGAAAACAGCAAATGTGACGTAATTTTGAATCGGGAAGCATAGTTGCAAATGAATGATGGTACACATGTGTTCTCGCACTCGTGCCTTTTTCACACATGACTGTGTGCATGACGTATTCACTTGGGTACTCAATACCATTCAAAATGACAAATGCACTTTGTAGAATCTCAGCACTTGAAAGCCTCCAATTTTTGTTTCTCCCGCCCGCTGCAGCTGAGGCATGTCCCCAACCCAGGCTACATGCGCAAGCAGTCAGACATCAGCCCGGGGATGCGCTGCATCCTGATTGACTGGCTCATTGAGGTTGGAGAGGAGTACAGACTTCACAACGAGACACTGTACCTGGCCGTCTCCTACATCGACAGGTTTCTGTCCCAGATGAAAGTGCTTCGATCAAAACTGCAGTTAGTGGGCACTGCTAGCATGTTCCTTGCGGCGTAAGTGGCTTTTCAGACCAAGTGGGAGGCCTGTGCTGAATATTTGATTGATTATCATTGGATATTTATTTTGATTTAAATATTCATAAGTGAGATACTACAAAGTAAATCAGGAAGAATAGAGAAAAATGGTCACCATCAATCCTAATGTCTTGGCAGAACTCTAGCCATAATGTCAGGTTACTGGCAACTTTACAATCCTGGCAAGTATAGCAATAAAGAAACTCCTTCTCTAGCAGATTGGTTGACCAGAACTTTGTCAGAAAACTTGAGTGTTCAGTCATTCAGTCTAACTAGCAGGAACTGGCCAGACATGAAAAGGTGTGTTCAAAAAACAGGTCATCATTTACTTGTTGATGAATTTTGCTTGGGCACTTCAGGGCTAACTGTTGCTAGGTGTGCAAATGTTTTCAACTAGGCATTGTGATTCATGGAAGCTGCATGAAACTCTGTCTTTTGCTTAGAAAAATGTTGGCTAGTCCACTTTGAGAAGCACCCTCTCACTGGCTGGAAAGAATGGCTACGCAGCCATAACGTGAATTCACAGTCATTTTTGAATAAGTGAAGTGCTGTTCCCACCAACGGAGCTCTGACGTTGCTAGGAAAATTACGCCCTTTCCTGGTCTAGCTCATCGTTAAGAATTTTGTACTAGTAAATGAAACGGATGAAATTTGCTGGACAATTACTTCATTTTGACAACATCAAAATGGTGCAAACTTGACTCTTGTTGAATTCATGCATAAAGGATTTTTTTTCTTGTGATTTTATTTACAGCAAATTTGAAGAAATCTACCCGCCTGAAGTCAACGAGTTTGTCTACATCACAGATGACACATACACCGTCAAGCAGGTGCTACGCATGGAACATCTCATCTTGAAAGTACTGTCGTTTGACGTCGCCGTGCCAACAGCCAATGCCTTCCTCCCAAGATTTCTCAAGGCATGCAAGGCAGACTCCAGGATGGAACACCTCGCCCGGGTAAAAAGTCACAAAATTGTATTTGCCAAGTTACTTTTACATGGGCCTTGGTGCCCCTAAACTAAGGACATCTATCGCATTCATTTACAGCCGTTTGAAGGATTCTGGAAGCTGTGTGAAGGTTTTCAGCCAAAATGTTTTTACAATCCTTGGAACTCTTAGAACATTGGTCTCCAAAGATCTAATAGCTGGCACTGATAAAACAGTTGAAATGGGGTGTGCTGGAAAGTGTCAATTTGCTTAACGGAGAATGAATTATAGATATTCTTTGCAGAGATTGGTAGTTTGTCTCTCATGTAGTGTCTCAGAGAGCAAAGGCTCAACAGTGTAATGAGCAAAAGGAATTTGCAGATTAACAAAATTAAAAACCGAAAACATTTCCTTTTTTTTATATACAGTATTTGGCCGAGCTGACGCTGCAAGATTTTGAGTATGTCAAGTTTGTTCCATCAACAATAGCTGCAGCTGCCGTCTGCCTCGCCAACTACACTCTCAGTGGAACGGCCTGGGTATGTGTACTGTGACTTGACAAGTCAAAATAGCAAAACGCATATGGAGTGCCTCGTCTGAAAAAATAAATGGCCTCAAAAATAGAAGTTCCATTCCAAGGAATAAAAGCATGAAATTATCATAGCACATTTTGTAGCCCATTTTCTTTAGACAGTACCTACATCAGGAATACACCTTCACTGATCAAATGTAATTGGAAGCGTAAATTTAGAACTTGATTTGAAAAAAAAATAGTGGAGTAACATGTGACAATGTTTTGTCCATTTAAAGATAAATGCTTCGTCTCTCTCTGCTTGCAGACGCCAACTCTTGAGAAGTACACCGGCTACAAGTTGGAGGACATTGCTCCCTGCGTTCGCAATCTTCTGAAGACCTTCACCGATGCACCCAGCCAAGACCAGCAGGCCGCCAGGGAGAAATACAAGTCACCAAGGTAAACCTATACCCATCTGTGGGCATGCTGATTTGGCCCTGTAAAGTGATATACTGTCATAGGTGTAGATATGAAGGCTGTATTGCATTCATTACTATATTACAACCATTTGGATAAATGGAAATGAAAAGGGCAATATTTCATTGCTATTCGTTCGGTCTTGCTAAAAAGCATACATGTTCCTAGCCTGTGAATGCCATCTTGAACAAATGAAAAATTGACCTACATAAAAAAAAACTGCTTGTGTTTGCTCAATATTCTTACAACTTTGCTCCACAAACTTGTTTCTTCTCAGGTATAATAGTGTTTCCATGATTGTGCCACCGTCCGCACTGCCCTCGTGGTTATGAGGAGTATGGCAGATGCCAAGAGGCAGGGGTAATGCTAGCAGAGCCAATAAACTGACTAGGAGCGTCGGCCAATCAGAGTAGCCAGAAATTGTATCCATTTTTAGCGGCCATGCCATGGGAATGCCCCGCTTGAGTGGACAAAGCTGATTGCCAGCTCCCAAGGGCGTGGCAAGTTTAATTTTAAAGAGTCAGTCGTGCTTGTGTCAGGGCCACCAGATCTTATCTGAAACACTCAGGGTGACGCTATTTTAAAAACGTTGTACAGAACCTAGCTGTTTTATGTACCCCCCAGATTTCTTTTTAACCATTTGATGAAGTTTTGATGAATTAATTCTCACCAAGTGCAATTGGTTGATTGCTTGGGTTTTTCCGTGATTACAGCTGAGATTTTGTGAAGGTTTTTTTGTAAAGCACTTTGTAAAGTCACCAGCAAAGATCAGCTGTGATTACAATAAACACTGCCCACTGTGAACAGTCTAAATGTAGCAGCCATCCCATCATGCTTTGTTTCCTGGGACGAAATTATGCCAATTCCTAGCACTGATTAGAATTTTTTAACGAGCTTTTTATTAACAGGGAAGTTTTAAAAGTAAACATAGAGCAACCATGTTTTATAAGAACTCGTGTAACAAAATTGTGTGGAAGTTTAAGCTTCAACAACTTCAAAAGATTTTTAATGATTGAAATGAGCACTTGTATGATTTGTATTCATTGATGAGGTAAAATGCCATTAGAATATCACTCATTTCACAAAACAAAAGAAAGTGAAAAACTCATAACTACTTTCAAGAAGGTTTTTTTTTATTGTATCTTGCTGTGTACATGTACATGTCCCTGCAAAAATGTTTCCTTGTACATGTATTGTGAATGTGTCTGGTATTTTTAATTAAGTTTTGTACAGAAAGCGTGGCTAACTGATCCAATATTCACCTGAACTTTTCTTTGTATTTTCTTTTATATGAAAATTATACATTGAACAAATGGCACACATTTTAAAGGTTTTATTTTAGCAGATAATTTCAAATTGTTTCTAATATGTGCATACCAATCATCGAGCAAACAAGATATTTCTGTCACTGGGGGGTTCTCAGAGCAATTTAACATAGGGTGTTTCCTGTTAAATCGACGGATAAATGGTATATGAATAAACATGTTTTTATTGAGAGTACATTTATGCGGATGCTTTTTGGTTTCATGTGTGTCAAGTGTTCTAGTCCATAAATAATGAAATTTATCCCAGTTTTAGACATGACAAAGACCCCATCAAGTGAAACCCTTTTACAGGATGCCTTTATTTTTAAAATTATAAATAAGGATGCTGAATGTCAACAAATGAATGGAGCTGAGCTCAACATACGAAAAAAAAAGAATCATTTTTTACAGTGAAACATCACAAGGTCCTTGCTATAATGCGCACCCTGTAGTATTGATGGAAAACAAAGTCTTGGGACCTTAAATTTTCCTTGTAGTAAACTTGACGTTTACAGTATTTACAGTATATTGTCTAGATCGTTAAATGTACTCTGAATGTTATGGTCATATCGTTTCCTATACCAGTTGGGGGAGGGGGCTAACAACGTCGGTATTTTCGATGGGTTTCGACTCGTGCGTTTCAGCTTGGATTCCGGAGCCAAATTTTTGTTAAAGTTTTTGCTCCATCCTGGTGTTTGTCTGGCCCTGCTATGTCTCATACTCGAAATATTTGGCTTATCGAAATTAAGTTATTATCCTTTCAGTCACTCCTATTTTCATTGTTTTAAATGCAGCGTTTTTTTTGTTGGGGTTTTTCTCGTCTCTCATCCCGTGAGGAAAGTTACTTCATTTGTATAGTCGGATGGCGTTTGGGTCTTCACTAAGTGCAACCGGAGTGCTACGAGTGTTACATGTACATATTGTATACAAATTTAAAGGCATTAGAGCCCCGAAAGTAAGGCTTTTTCGTTTTTAGTTTCATATTTTAAATCGTTCGTTCTTTCATGTTGATTCAGTCACAGAAGAATATGAGGAATTACTAAAAAACTTTCTTTATCGCCTCACCGCCCAACCCCGACCCCCAGAAACATTGGATCAATCCAATTCGCCCGATAAAAATGACGTCATGTCATTCATCACGAGAAAAACATTAACGCAGCTTTAGAATCTAAGATGGCGGATTGTCACTGAAATTTTACCGGTCCAATAAAATATTTTTATCTCCACAAAAGAATTGAGAACTTAATCGGCTGTAATTTTGCTTGAAGGTTAGGTATGTGACGGAATCGAAGGCCTGTGAAGAGCAGGAAGCTGGAAAATCGCGTCAGTATGCCAGGTTTCAAGCGTTTTCAAGGTAGGCCTAAGTTGTTGAACGATGTACATATGATCACGTAGGCCTAGGCCTACATAGCCTACATCATGACATATGTAGGCCGTAGGCCCCTGTGCTGTGCGAGATATGCTCCGATATCCCCCAGCCCAGTGGACGTCGTCTACATTGTATTGCGGCTCAGTCGTAGTGTAAATAAAGACAACGTCCAACCTGGTCTCCCTAATCACACTGCATGCAATGACTAATGCCGAGTCGCCCCAGACTACCGGTATAAAGAAACCTCCCTAGCCCAACCTCTTGCACCCGGAACCCTTTTTCCACATAAAGACCCCTCCTTCATTTTTGTACAGGAATAACAGGTGCGTAGGGCCTTCGTGCATAAAATGTGTTCAGTGCAGTGTTGTGCAAATTAATTATAGGCCAACTCCACCCAGAATTGCCTTAGAATGAAATCCATTCACAAAGGCAAAAAAACGTAGGCTTGCAATAAATTTGCACAAATTTGTGCAAGATTGAACATACATGTAATAAACAGCTTGCCATGGCGTAATTATTGAGGCACCATGCTCACAGTGTTACATTCCTTGCAGTTTGCAGACGGATTGAAGAGAGTCGTTTTGGGGAGGATGTTGGGAGAATTTTACATAATACCGCTTAGGATAACTTGCTACGAGATGGAATGGAGTACATGTATTCTGCAGGTGTCACACAGCCAAAGGGTTTATACTTCACAGCTACAGACAGTACACGTCGGAATCAGGCACTTTGGGGAATGAAGGAATTTACGAGGAGGACGAGTTGTTGGGGGAAAATAATTCTGAGTCCAAACAAACAACCCTGTTGAAAATGTTCTATTTCTATGTCTAAACAGATGACTTTGTAGCTGGCTATGCAGATATACAAAGTCACAGGGCAGAGAACAGCATATTTACTGGGGGTAGGCAGTCAACCCTGGCTCTGTAACCAGCTACAAGTTGGGATACTTGAGTGGTGGAATAATCTACAGTTGTGCCTGATATTGTCAGAAAATGTGACCTTTCTACCAAGTTTGACAGTTAGAGATGTCACGATATCTGGGTCCTAAGAGTAGACTTAAAGTGAGCCCTTGGCCCGAGAACCTAGCCCCAAATCCTCTTCCTAGAACAATTAGGTTTATCACTCGTTCTGTTGGCGGGCAACCAACCCCATCATTTTAGTTGTACCCAGAATCATGTCTTCAGAATAATACCGTATGAAGTGGGAGTTAATGTAAACCTTATGAGTATGGCCTGCACAGGTACATGGACCTGAATAAGTACGTGTAGCTTTAAAATTAGGGTCAGTATAGTACCAGTATTTACGGTGTCTTGGCTTCCTTGAAAAAAAAAAGTGCAGGTGCACACTTTTTCAGATCTACATGTACCTGGACAACCTGTGCCAGAACATATAGGGTTTGAGGATCCATAGCTCACTGTGTAGGTACCAGTACATTGCTCCTGACAGATCTACTGTACCTAACATTTTCTTAGATGGGTGCATGAGAAGTGTGCACGGAGGTAAGCAGAATTACCTTGAATCAGCATCAGGCAAGCTGCTTGATCCAGGCTAGTTCTTCTCCGGCTGAGGTGGAAACCAGTCCACAGTACCATGATCCCCAATTGTCAGTCCAGATCCCAAGCCAAGCTGATCAGCCCCCATGCGTCAGGCCATTAAAAACTCTGAACTTTGATACATAAAATGTACATGTACATTGTGCACACTCATTTTAAGATTTAAACAAATACCTGTGCACTAGTGTACATGGATAGATGGCCCTTGGTGAAGGTGCCCGTTGAAAGTTACCGACACTGTCCAACTGCATATGCATGCACTACCTGAATTCTTGCTCATGAAGTACTTAAATGCCATGTTTCCTGACTCCGACAAAAACACAGGAACGCTCTAATTGCCTCGTCTGCGGACTCTGTCACTTACATGTAGAACTTTACTTGGAGGGGGAATGAGTCAGTGGGGAGGGAGTCAGCCCACTTTTTTTCAGTTGTCATCCTTCACGTGATTTACAGTACGTGGAGAGCTTGAGGTTTGCGGAGAGCTGCTGGTTACGCATGTATTGCGAACATCTGTTCCAAAGACAAACATTTGCTCAGTTGTTGTGATAGAAGAATCTAGGTGTGATGGCGTGTGCTGTACCAGAATATGAGCCCACTGGGGATGAGAAAGTTGTTGAGGTAAAAGATGCAAAAGGTGAGGAAAGCTACTGTAGTGGTGGTTATAACAAGTCACAATTGTCGGTGGGTAATGTACTGTACATAGAAAGCCCATTTGTGAAGTTGTACACGTACCGTACATGTATGGATCTAGACATGAAGGTGCAGACAGTGACTCAACACACTTCAGTGTTGATTTGTAATTTTATATGCCAGATGTTGTGTGTTTGGGCAAAGTGTGTAGTTGGTTTCAACTTGTGTGCAAAATTTACACCAGTCACCCTCCTGAAGATGAATAGAGCATACTGTTCAGAACGTCGAGTGTTCACCATCGGTTCTTCTCAGAATCACACAATCATAAAAGAGATATTTTCTTGTACATGGTACAACCACAAGCCTAACCTACGTGTAATTTAGTACTTCCTCCATGCATAGCTTCAAGTCTTAACTTGTGTGCAATTTTCATGTGACTAGCCATCATATTTTCTGAGAAAGCCTTTGCACTTTGCTCGGTGATTAAAACTACCGGAAGTGCAGAAAGACTACATGTAGTCTGAGGAAGTTGGTTTAAATTGTTCATATTTGGTTCCAGTTGGTATTTACATGTATGGAAAATTGATGGGAGAAATTTCTGTTCAAAATTTATGGTTGTTTTTGCCTGTGTCATAACTGTAGGTGAGCAGTTTTCCTCTTTTCCATAAATTTACAAAAATGTATCATTAATTTGCCTATTTAGCTGTACCTTGCTCAGAACACTTTGGGGCCAATTTTCATAGAGCTGCTTAAGCACAAAATTTGCTTAAACGTTGAAAAACCTTGCTTGACAAATCAGGTTACCAGCCAAAACTCCATGTGATGTATGTGGTTTTGGAATGGTATTCACTTGTCATTTAGTTGACATGACAATCACATAGATTTTAAGCTGGTAACCTTTGTTTTTTAAGCAAAGTTTTTTGCGCTCAGGCAAATTTTGTGCTTTAGCAGCTCTATGAAATTGGCCCCTTCATATGTTCATATGGTTCATATGTTAATCGATGAAGAGTCTACTATTTTGAAGAGAGTTACTACATGCACTTCTGATACATGTGTAGACCAGCATTGAACTTGGTAAATTATACCAATAAAGTACCATACATTGTACATCAGCTAGCACACCAGCAGCTTTCCATGCAGAACTTGCAATTAAACCTTTCTGCATAAATGTTTGCTGTCCTTCATAACAAAGAGGCATTGTTTTGTTATTATTTAATGAAACACAGATGTACATGATGTACATCTACATGTATGGAGGACTACATTTACAGGGTAATGTATATGCACTGGCAGTTGATCTGAAATGGAAACTGTCAACCCGCAAATAGAATTGTGTTTGAACAGTCTGTGAAGCTGTACAATAATATTTAGAATTATCCATCTCTTGTGAAAATCATTAGAATACATGTAGGTAATGATGCACACATACATGTACTGTCCAATACTTCAATGCATCAATACATGTACAATGTATCTGTGACTCTTTTGACTGTTTTGTGGCATTCAAAAATGTGATGAATAATCTATTTGGTGATTTACTGTACATGTAATATTTATTCCACTGAAGCTCAGTTTTTGATTTCATAGGAATTGAAATGTCATTAGCTATCAGGCCATTTTGATTACCAGTCTGTAGGGATGTACCAGTGCATGCATTCCCTTGGGATCATGTGACAGGGACAGGTACCTTATGTACAAGCCATGTACATGTACATGTAAATATTATTTTACATAATGACCTAGCAGATAGGTACTTCAGATCAATTTGTCCAATGCAACATGTACATGTACACTTGACAATCAGTGCATGGTTCTGATCTAGTATACACATGTATGGAAATTGACCTTTAATTTCAGAATTCCATTGAAGAGTTAAACAAATTTAATTTGACTTTTTCCTTTCACTTGTACCTCTCGTATTTGATTCAGATTGGAAATGTCCTGCATGACATGCATACATGTACATGTAAGGCTTGCATTGATTGCAAACAGGTCCATGTACTTCTCCTTTAAAAACACAATTTCAGTTGGATACAGTTCATTGCGCTATGCAGACATAAGGATCCTTGAACAGCAAGTGTACATTTCAGGGAGACGATAATCTCCATGCATAACAAATAATTCTACCATGGCATTCTGCATGTATAGGGGCGACAGCTAATGCTATGCTAATGACCTTTACACAGTGCCGAGTGGCTAGCCAATAAACAGTGTGACAATTTGTTCTGCATGTGCTAATGCATATCATTATTGTCAGTTAAATAGTGGAAGCCATTTTAGAATTTGCAGTTTTTCCTTTTTTTTGGAAACACACCACGTGCAAATCTGATGTTAATTGATCACCCGCTGTTTATTTAGGGTTGCTAACCAGATTTCATTAGATTCAAAGTCTGATCTTTGCTGGAAGATCAAAGACTCGTGTATTACAATTGCCATAGATGAATGGAAGTAACATTATATCAATGATTGAAACTGCTTTTGATGATTTCAAAAAGGATGGAAGCTGGTAAGATTGTTCTCAAGTTTTTACTTACAGAATTTGGAACAGTTCACAGAAACAATTTTTCACAGTTCATATAGCAATGTGCTCTCTATATTTGTCCCTGGAACGACTGGACCTTGCATTGTCCTGTGTACATATTTTACACCAGATCAAGTTCGTTCCCAGAAGCTCAAATGTACATACATGTACATGTACCGGTATGGTGGTATAGAGCTCTATATGTGTACATAAATATGTACACATGACTGCAGATGTTAGCTTGAGTGTTGCTGTACAGTGCACTTTGTGCTGAAAGCAAACAGATATGAATTCTTGAAGAATTCTGTACTGTGGCTTTCATACCAATGAACATGCTCCTGATTTATTGATGAAATTATCAATCGATACTGCGCTCGTAATAGCCATTTTGTGCAAATATACATTTACATGTACTCGATGCACTCCTGTAACTTACATGTACATGTGGCCATTGATTGGCCAGTCACAATTTGCTGTGCACAGACTTTGAACCTCTGCTACGCCACTGCATTCCCTGGAATAGGGAAGGTGCCTCCACTGTATCACTGTCCCATAAATTATGATCATTTGTTTTCACTATTAAATGCATTTATGATCCTGTGCATTGAAATTGGCTGAATGAATTGTTTTGCCAGCTATATGTACATGTATAATGTAAGGCTATTTAGAGCAAACCTGACAGTAATTTCAATTAGACCTTGAAAACAAAGAAGATACATGTACTGCACATATAAATTACTTTTGTCTGTCATCCTTATACAATTTTGTAAATTTGTCTTGTAACTGTCATGTATGTGACCTCATGTATACACATGTTTACGTAGATCATCGTGGCGAGACAAGTCACACTGAACATAAATTTGTTCATCATGTTGATATGATATGTAGTGCAGATGGCTTCAATACGATCAAATGGACATGTATTCAGTTCATGATTGGCTTAGTATGACATCCACAAGAACTCTGTTAACTGTTGAAAAAGGATAACATTGATCGATTACATTGACTGATTGCAGTGGACTTGGTTGATCCTTTGGAATTAGTGTGCATGTAGGTTTTCTAAGCTTTGTTTACATGTTTAATTCTTGCCTGCCATCCATGTTTGTTTTATTTTTTAATTACTTTTTTTTTTTGCTGTGGGTGACTGTTATTAATCTTTCAACCAACGTCTATGTACATTGTACATGTATCCTGCACCAGTCTCACCACTCAGACCTTGGTGATTTATAAACGTCTACCCCACTGAATAGGTTAAGGCCAGAGGTACAGATCTACTGAATGCAGTCTTTATTGGTGTATTTTGGTGGCTGCAACTAGTAACTACTTCTTTTATTGGTCATATGCAGAATGCTTAGGTGATTCATATCTGAATCCTTGGAATGTTTACGTGATTATGATGTTGGGAGCACTAAAATGGGCCTTTAATGGGAATCAGTGACTTCAAGGGAATTATGTTCAAACGTGTTCTAGCTTTTATCTACCCTATGCCTTCATGATTCTCCCATTTTGACCTCTGGTTCCTGTCCTTTGTGATTTGGAGGATTTGGGGCCCAATACTAGGATGATAGATTTGCATTTTAGTGTAAACAAAGTCCGCCACTAGGCTGGTCATTTTAAATGAATGTTTTGAATAAACAGCAACTTGTTTCTTCTTGCAGATGAGCAGACACAGTTGACAGGTGGGATCAACCTAAGCCCCCTCCCACCAGCTGAGCCAGAATCCAGGACTATCTATCTCAACCAACCGCAGACTACCAAATTCTGCAGCAATGAAGTCAAGTACGTTCGCAAAACCATGGCACAGTTCTAGATTTTGTGTATGAGCACCCCTTCACAGAGGACCTCTGGCATGGCAAGGGGAACAAGTGGGATCTTTGGCTCGCTCGTCCCTCCCCCCGAAGAAATTGAAATATAAAAAGAAGAAAGGAGGGGGGCAAAATAAAAGAAAAAGAGATGAAAAGGGATGAAACTCAAATTTTCTTGAAAAACATCAAAATTGACCCCCTTTTTTAATTCCACTACTACTGGTGTATCAGTTCATTGCTGGTGTGTGTTTTTCCCCTCAAAAAAAGGCTTAGCCCCTTCCCCCCATAAAAGAAAATCATGGCAGCGCCCACGCAGCTGACACAAAGAAAGGCTTGGGTGAATGTACTGAATTACTCAACTGCACCTGTGCCCACCTGCAAACCCTGTGGGTTGTATCTGTGAAGATAGAAATGATAAATAAAATTACATGTAGCAATTCTCAATGTCTTGGAGAGCTAACATTGTCTATTCTCCCGTAAGCCATGTTGGTATTTATTCACTGTTAATACCGTAGAGTTGATGACCTTAATCGTCCCAGTTCCTTCAAAATCTACCTGAAGCATTTGGAGGATTTGTATTCAGGTTTTAAGGTTTAATAACTTGTGGGGGTTAAAGTACATACAAGTACATGTATCGTAGAATGTTTATTTGGATTCATTCACAGTGGAGGAGTTAGCTGGATTGAGGAAGATTCCTGTCAGGAATGCCCATCAAATTGGAGTTGACTTACGATACTTTTATTTTGTTAATTGATTTTTCTCCCCGCAGCACGGGCAAATACAGCGTGGTCACCTTCTTACCCAAGTTCTTATTTGAGCAATTCCGACGATACGCCAACGTCTTCTTTCTTTTCATTGCACTGCTACAGGTGAGTAATTCTTTCATGTAATGCAAACTTTAGTGAGTTGTCAATCCAAGGGAAGTTTGTTGAGTATCCCCCCCAAATAAATCAGGACAAATTAAAAATCAAAACAAGCACCGTGCTTTGTAATACTGCATTTAAATCTTAGTCAAACCTTGAGACTAATGTTACAAAGTTGTCAAGCAGGAAAGTATTTACATGTACCTGCCAAAATTCAATTACCGACTTATCCATTTCTAATGACTACCTGTTACTTGAAAAGCACATGTACATCTACAGATATTGCTTTTTGCTTGGAAATTGAGGAAGGTGGCTATTGGCACTCAGTGTATATTCTTAAATTATGATGACACATGTTAAAAATTTAGGTACTCAGATTTTGATGTACTGCAAACAAGTCATTTTTGTAAAGTACATTTCAAGTAATTTTACTGCTAAATACGAACATTCTAACAAATTTGTTCCACGCGAGAAAGACATACATGCCATTGGGGACCATTTACCCATGACAGGCATTATAAATACATAATTTTGCATCATTTCACTATTCACATCGTCACTTCATCAATTTGTGCCCACAGAGAGATAACCTAGGAATACTTTTAAGAAGAAAATCTTTATCTACATTGTACATGTACAACAAATGGGGAGAGAAGTACCGAGGCGTACACATGTACATGAAGCAGGCAACGCATAAAATGTTTGCCAATCTCTGGCATTTTTTTTTTCAATGGTCTTGAGCGTGGAGGAATTTTCCTGATTGTCACCGCTATTACATGTTGACTGTCTTTGAAATATGTGTTCAAACATATTGTCATTTTCACGATTTGTTCAACTGCCAGACACATTGTTTCCACCATCATTTTTGTTCCACATATCATTTGCAGCAAATTCCTGGCGTGTCACCGACGGGTAAATTCACCACAATGTTCCCACTCCTATTCATCCTGTTTGTCTCTGCCATCAAAGAAATCATCGAGGATTTTGTAAGTTCAGACACGGCGGCACTTTCTAATCCCTGACTTCCTTTACAAGTTCTTCCTCAAACATTTAGCCTTGACCGAATCGACCGATGTTGACATTTAACACGTTGCCAAAGTAAGTGCTGTATCAACCTGAAACCTCAGCTTGTCTCTCCGTATGAAATTGATTGTACTTGTAGGAAACCCAGAATACCATTCAAGGGTAACTTTGTCCTGGCAATGCTTGACTGTGCTGTGGTTCGCCACACTCATACCCTGAGTTTCATTTTTCAAGATCTCAGTTGAATTTTGTGGTTGATTTTTGCCATAATAGTGAGGGCTTTGAAAAGAAAGAAAAGGGGGGGTTTTCAGGGTGATGTTTATGTTTGATGAAACAAGTTGCACACTCTTTTTTTTGCCCAATATATGCATTATAATAAGTCATCTATGATATCATATCTGAATAAGAGTAGCTGGGACTGACGTTTCAATTCCAGCAAGAACTTTGTCAGAGGCAGAAATTACATGTGTATCGTCTACGAAAACCAAACCTATGGGCAGATCAGAGCAAGGACCAGTTGGCTACCACTAGTCAATCTTACCTGGCACCCAGGATATATTTTGTGAACAGGTTACCAAGGAAAATTTGACCAACGGTCAACAAATGATCCTTGCTTGAACATAACCTATTACAGAGCCGTATAGAATCTGAGAGAAGTACATGTACACAGGCTGAGCCCTATCTATTGTAATAAATATTCACACAACTGTGCTCTTAACGTCTCTGCCAACTTCCTCATCGCACTATTCCCTTCTCCATATCATTTGGCATAGTGTGTTCACTCATGCCCCATCGCAATCAGGTAAGAATCAGCATCCATTTCCTTTTCTAACATACTTCCATCTAAGCCCGGGGAAAGTCATGTATCGGTGCCATGGCAACAGCTCACGGACCATTCCATTTTTCGTCCACATCAGGTAAGGACAAGGTCCCCTCCCGCACGCTGCATGCACACCCAACTTTTCTTGTCTCCTCTCTATCTCCCCTACTGCATTGTAGCAAATTCCAGGTGTCTCTCCCATTGGAAATCTGACAACTGTCATTCCCTTACTATTTATTCTTACTGTCGCGGGTATCAAAGAAACAGTCGAAGATTGGGTGAGTACAGTTTAGACAAAGCTACTCCATGCCCTGGTTCATAAACTCCATTTCGATGGCTTGACTTCCTATTACTGACGAACGAAACCAACTTCATTTTTTTACCTTTACCCTGCCTGACCTTGATCAAAGAAAGTTTGACATCACTTAAGACTCCAACTAATTTATTGAGTTGTAAAAATACTCTCATGTTATGACCGTGTAGAAAATGTTTGTGAGTTTTAATGTTGAACCTTGCCTACTTATTTTTTTTTCAAGGTTACAATTGTGAGGTTTCAGTGGACTAGTATTGCTTTTAAATTGTGCATTTT